GTGGCCTGGGGGGAGGGGAAAAAAAACACGGCGCCGGGGGGGGGGGGGTTGCGGGGGGTTGGGGGCCCAGGCGCGGGGGGTGGGCCCCCAAAAAACCACCCCCCTGGGATTTTTTCAAAAAAAGGAAGGGCTTTGGGGGGCCGGGGGGGGGGCCCCCCAAACACAAATTTAAAAGGAGGGGGGGGGGGGGGGGGGGGGGGGCAGAGGAGAAACTGGACTAACCCAGTGTCAGGTAGTGTACATGAGACACCTGCCGCCACAAGAAGAGCTGGCCTCTACACCAAAAACTGCGAGGCCAGCAACAAAAACGAAGGATATCGAGAGCTAGAAGTAACGCTTGTCGCTGGGCTGGTTGGGAACAAACGGGCCTTCTCAACGGGCGCGTGGTTGATCGATTGCCAAGTGTACCAAGTGCATCGCTTCGGTGGTGCCTGCAGTACCTGACCAATCCTTGATCCAGCTCATCATCTCGGTGGGCGGGGAGTCGAACGTGGGGCCTTCAAGGCTCGGTATCCACAAGAAGCTTTCCGTCAGCTTGTTCTCCTTCGCCAAGTTCAACAAGGACCTTCGCGCGAAATCGTGCGAAAAAAGGAGGCATGTGTCCGGCATCAATTTCATTAGCTCCTTTCTTGTATGAATCAACGCTATACAACAACAGAGTCTACGGGGTCTCTATGTGGACAAAGTGGCGGGGCGAAGGCGAATACGCAACGCCAGACGAGTGTATCTTTTCCGGGACGGTTGCTGTACCCTCGTCAGATTTCACCACCCGCACTACCAGTGTCGTATAAACTATCTGCGGACAGCACACACGGTCTTGACGTTTCTCCTGAGGAGCTTAGACCCGGGGTCACACCAAGGTTTTCCTGGTTGACAGCAGCAGTGCCTGCCTTCCGTGTTATCACGAAAAAGGGGTCAGCAGTCCTCCTGCCCTCGTCAACGAAAAATACGAGTTTGCTCATTAACCCACGAGCACCTGCTTTCTACACAACGTCATGCCGGGATTCGAACCCACGACCTTGGCCATCCACAGGTGTCTCCAAGCCATCGGGGCGGCCAAACCTGCTAAAATTCTTGACGGCCGTCTGTTTGAGCCCGTAGACAGAACACCCTAATGAGAGAGAGACACACGACACGACCACGCATCACGCATCCCCTAGCGGACCCCACAAGTCTTGTGGGGCACCATACCGCGATAAGAGATGAAGAAAACAACACCCTGTCCTACGCGATGTGCAGCTGCAAGCTCTGCCAGACATAAGATACACGTCACCTCCAACACGCACCTGTAGAGCGAGATGAAGATAGGGATCTGCGCCAGCGCGGGCAGGCACCCCGCCAGGGGGTTGACGTTCTCCGTCTGGTACAGCTGCTGCACCGCCTGGTTGGCCGCCTCGGGGTTGTTGGCGTATCGCGCCTGCAGCTCCTTCACCTGTTCCATTCGTTCGTTCCAATCCATAGGTGGGTGGGTACTGTAACGACGCCATACCTTGCGCAACCACGATTTTGTGTTTTTTTTTGTGTTTTCTCCCGAATTTCTCGTTTTTTCCCCCCAAGGGGGGTACTTTCGAGGCTACTGCTGCGCCCCATTTCAACCCAGAGTCAATAATTGAGCGCCGGCAGACTCGTGTTCGCATTACGTGCCAAGGCTTGGCTGATTTCTCCGTGCGGTGTGGTGTTCGACGACCGCGTTCTGGCATCGGTAACATATGAAAACTGGTACTTCGTAGCTGGTCACCGCCTACTAGTTGGACTCGCGACTCCATATTTTCCGTCCTGATGCTACTTGGTGCTTTTGCTCCTTTTTGTTTGATCGAACAAACACCACACATTCTGTCGAGAGTCAGGTTTGCTGATGAGGATTTGCCAAGGGGCCTCTGCACGTATCATAGTAACCTACAACCAACATCACGCCCATGAACACCACAAAAAGCTCGGTTCTTCGCCTCTACAGCCCGACCTTTCTTGGCATTCTCGCTCACACAACAACAAAAAGAACACTGCACTGGGGAGCGGAAGGCGACTCACCCTACCCCTGTTCCCTACAACCGTCATCCCAACGCCGACAAACAAACACACACACCTTAGGCCCGAGAGTTTGCATCTTGGTCGTGCTCGAGAGCTGCTGGTACGTGAGGGGGAAGGTGATGCCCTTGACGAAGAGCGTGAAGCAGATGATGGAGATGCCGTAGGCGGAGGGCACCCCCATGCTCGCAAGCACGTCATGCAGGCCAGTGATGGCCCCCTCCGTGACTCCCGTCAGGAGCTGGATCGGGTGGAAGCCGCCGCCGCCTCCCTTGGCGGCCTCCTCGGCCACCGCCGCTGCCACATCGCCGTCCGCGATTCCTGACACGTCATGCGCGCGGAAAACAAAAAATAAAAACACGGGCCGCAAGCAACGACAAAACAGGTTACGGTTGGTTCGCGTCGGTTGTGCAAAGAGTCCAAGGATAGGGCCGTCACAGGAAGTCTTAACGGAGACAAACAAGCGGGTTGCTTCTCCTCGATTATTTCTAGCGCTTGGAAGACTGCTGTGGTCGTGCTGGCTACTAGACGCGGAGACCACGATATTTTGGGCGCAAGAAAGAAATGGTGGCGACCATGATGCGCTCAACAGACCAACCTGCAGACAGGTGAATCGACATCTATCTCCCACAAGCAATGCTTAGCCAAGGGGGAAACAGCACCCCTTTCTCTGGTCTCTTCCTTCCCCGCCTGTTCGCCAACCGCACGACTACTAATCTCCGCCTTGTAGGGAGAACGATAACATTTCAACGCTGAAATCAAAAGTGGAGTAGTTCTACGTTTCCGGGGCTTCCACCAAGGATCATGAAATACACCACTCTTGGAGCGACCCAATATCTACACATCCACACTGTCAAACGTCGCCGCACATACGCACATCATCTTTATCTGTACTATTGCTGAGATCCCAACTGAATCGACCATGGTGGATACTGGTCGATCAGTAGTCCATGACATTTGAAAACATCACGAGTTCGTACTGGTAGAAAACGAGCTTGAGCCAGCTCGTTTTCTGTCAGCACGAAGAACTGGTGTATCCAAACGCAATGGACTTCTGATTGATCAATTTCGACCACGGTCAATAGGTTGGGATTTCAGTAGTAGTACAGATAAAAACGATGATGATGGCAGTGCAGGGGATTCATTTGGGAGCGATGAAGGAGGAGGAGAGGGAACGGGAGGACAAGATAAAGACCAAGATAGCAATCGAGGAGGGAATCATGGCGTGGAAGAGAGCAAGAGCTTCGAGCCAGATGACCTTCACCACAACAAACGACGCAGGGCCAGAGAAGAGCTGCCGAAAAATTGCCGTAAAGATGATAATGATTATGAGAATGATGGTGAAAGCACGGAGGATTTTAGTGACAGCACTCCAAAACGAACTCGAGAGCAAGGTAGCAGCCTTGGTAGAAGCGTGCAGTTTTCTTCTGTTGCTACGGTTTCTGTCTTCCATCCGGAGAATAGCTTAGCCTCCCCCATGCCGCCCCTCACGGGGTCCTATTTAGTGGCATTTACATGTGTTTTGTGTTTTCAACCGCAATGAGACTGGCGTATTTTCACTGGTCAGCCGGTTAGCGCGGTCGATGCTAATAATAAAAACACACTCACACACCTGTCAGGACTTGGTGCAACCATGCCGGGTCCACCCCGTGCATCATCCCCGGGTCCACCATCGCCTGCAGCCCTCGTGCCCCTGCTCTCGACAACGCGCCGCAACGACGCACAGCGGAAAAACGTAACGGGACTTCGAGTGAGGACGTGTGCACTGGACTGGAAGAGAGCGGGTGCTCGACGGGCGCGTCACTCTCGTCTCTCAACAACAGCAGGGCGACCTTTGCAGCTGGACACACTTCGTCAAGCTGTCTTCTGACGTAAAACGAGGAACTCGCGTCGAACAACGGTGCTCGGTAGCGGAGCAAGCTTATGTACATGGAGCATGACCCGAGCGGTGGCCCAGGAACACCGCCTTCTTACGCTGTCAACACCCTTCTCAGGAGATGGGCCGTATCACACTCTGCAACACAACTATAATAGTGTGGGTGCGACCTTTGGTATCTGACTAGTTGCTGTGCTGTCGATCAACAACGTTGTTTTATGCCAGAGAGAAAAACGAGACCACGAGACTGGCAAGGTCAGCCTCGGGTTCATAGGCATGGCTGGGTTACGGATATGTACGCACACGAGGTTGGCGTTGGGTAGGCAGCAAACGCCAGATACCATCTACTTAAACGGCGTCCGGGTGTGTTATGTGTCCAGCACGGACCTTACAGTCCGTGGTTTTGAACTTTGAACAGGCTTCCCGAGAGCAATCACCATAGCACTGCTGTTGTGGCTTTGGTTCATCGAACACCCTGCAGTTCAGGGTTACGGCTACAGCTGTAGGATACCTCACAAGAGACACAATCTTAACAGGCAAAGGCCTCGGGTCCTCGGAGAACTAGACGTGTGTAGAGCACCCGCCCCCGCCCGTCCCTCCCCCCGCCATACTCTACAGGCAAGGCTCTAACGAGGACACGCCCGACATGGCAGTCCTACGCAAATTTAGCCGGTGGTGCACGTACATACGCTCGCCAACCGCAGTGCATTTAGACGGACGTATCCTCTTATGCGTACTCATTCGACAAGGTAACGTCGATGCCGACTCCAACACATCTCGTTCGACTGCTGCGGTTATATCTCGAAAGGTAGTCTGTTGTACAATATTATTCCTTAATTAAATATACTCTTGAGTATTTTTCTTATAAGAGTGGCATCGAGGCCGAACAACGACGATATGTAACGGGGGAGAAATACAGGGAATAAATCCCAGTAGATTACTTGCCACACCTGACGCCGAAGGGCGCGCTGCTGGTGCGCTTGATCTCGACGTCCACGAGTTAGCAGCAACAAACCGGGAGCGAGCTGTGTAAAGGGAGGAGAGGAGAAGCAACGCAGGAGCGTGGTTGAACGCGCAGACGGCAAACATGACTTGCACTTGTACTTGAAGGAGAATGGCCTTTGGTATGGTAAGAGTGGGGTATGATAAAACATGGCAAATGAACCAGAGTCAGCTTGCCGTTCACAATTTCGCTACACGGAATAGAAGCTGAGCATTGCTATGATGGAATGACTTGGACTCGTAAGCGTATGTGCGATACCGCCGCGTGTCTCACCTGATACCGCGAGGCCAGGTGGGGCAAAAGCTGACACCGTTCCTGCGTTGGCCTGCTCACCTCACAGCAGGAACGCAGAGCACAGAGGCACGAGTCGAGAGGTGATCAAAAGCAGGCGGCGAAGTCTTGACAATACCCTGCCCCTTGGCCTACCCAAGCAACAAAGCCCCAAAGACATCGGTACAGGAGAGCAAAGAAACGAGGGGTGATCAACCTCGTCAGACAAGTTGGGTGTGTAGCATGAACGTCCTACAGCAGCTGCCGAGGCCGCAGATGCGCAGCAGATGCACACACGAGAGCACGCCACGAGACTTACCATGGCGCAGGCCGCGACCAACGCTGTCAATGGTCGCCCCATGTCGTCGTGTGCTCTGACAGTGGTCCCGCTGCACGCGAGGGAAGGTTTGTCAACGAGAGGTTGGCTGTAGCTGCTGAGCGAGCGGTGCTTGAAGGCACCAACACTCCAGAGAGGCGCTCATGCACGGGGCCACATACCCCCCTCCCCCAGTTCATTCTGCGGTGCCTCCCGGAAGGATTGCTTGCACTGCTGTGCGCTGCACACCATGGGAGATAGAGGAGGAGGAGTGGTCTCGTGTACCACAAGCATCGCCAAAACATGGCGCAGCCGTGGCATGTAAGCCGCGGAGGAGCAAGAGGGAGGGCTAGCTCCAAACAATGGCCTGGTCGTGGGCCTCATCGAGCCAATGTCTGGACTCCCTCGACTGCAACCGTAACAACAACCACAGCAGCAGCAGCCGGACCGGCTTCGGCAACGGTGGTCTCCGCTTCGTCCCCACCCGCTCTAACAGCTCGAACAAGGTGCAGGACATGCTTTGGTTCAGGTTGATTGTGTGTCTCTGATGTGTCACACGCAGTTGTAGCTTTGCCCAGCGGGCGGGCTGCCGTATTGGTGCAGCAATGCAGCATGTGACACAAATGGGAGATCATGGAGATTGTCTGCCCATGGGTGTTTCTAGTGAGAGCCCTGTCTGCGACGTGCTGCTGCTGCTGTGCTCGAACGCAGTAGATCGGCGGCGTTGGTAGATTGGTTGGCGCATATGCTACTGTTGTTGGGCGTATGACACCTACCTGCTGAGCTCTGTCGAATGGTTTGACGCCAATTATTAGTCAAGTCTCGAGTCGGTGACACCGAGCAAACTTTAAACTTTTGAAATTCGCGTATGGCGACGACTGGGTACTGGGGATCCGATACAAGCAGGACGCATTGGAGCATCCGCCACACACGCGTACGGCTTTACGACAAGTCACCTGCACGAGGCTCGGCCTCACCTATGAGAAGCGCAGCGTGCTGACTGAGATGTTGCCTGGGTGAAATTCCAATTGATTGCGATGTAGACGGTGCATATCTCAACAACGTCCACTATTATAGCGTGAAGACAACAACAACAACACATCCACAGAAGTTCACCTGTACAAGAGATCTGTCCGGTGCACTTATCAGAGCACAGCAGTGTAGTGTATTGTATTGTATTGTAGTGTCATCCAGGGGTGGTGCAAAATGAACATTTCAACAGGCAGTAAGACCAGCCCACACCTGGCTGCCAACTGCCAGTTGTGACGCTTCCCAAGCTCAACAGCTGACACAGCTGACGTGTTGTTTTGACTCGATACAGCCCAGCGAACGTCAACGAACCAACATTTGAAATTTTCTCCAAATATGTACGTGTAGTTCAATTGACCTCTGCCGGCAACACGCGACGTCGTCTACAGAAACAGCAGTCGAACTTAGATTCACACGCCCTCGCGATCTAGAGCACCGGTTGTGCCTGGAGAGAAACGAATCTTGATACTGCTTCGCCGACGTGCCGCACCTCGATGTGCATCCTGTCGTCTGTTTCCTACAGACGATGAAAGGGCTCATTGCTACTTCAAAGTATAGTGCAATTGTACCAACCCCCCCCAACTATATGCTCGGAAGCAACTTGCGCAGCAGTAGGGCAAATCAACGTCAAGGAACCCGTGAATCCCAGAAGCTAGGGACGTGTGTTTGTGGTGGTTTGGCTTCAACATTTTTTTTTTCGCGCGTCTCGTACCATGCCGCCACACGACGGCGGCAGCTCTCGCAAGGCAGCGGACCTCGTGGAAGCCGCGTCCACCCAGTCGGCGTCCGAGATCGAAGCCTACCTGAAAGGTGCGCAACTTTTTTGCTACAGCAGTACACTCTAACAAAGCCGAAGGAAAATCTGCCATCTTGAGACAGGCCGTGCGTCATGGCAGCAGCCATAAGCGTCCCCACGCAGTCGACGGTCGGCGTAGTTTTCCGTTAGTGTCGAATTTCGCCCGTTCATCACCATCACACCGAAGTACACACATGAATCGTCTACGGATTACGCAATAAAACATCCATCAATCTCCCTTTGTTCTCTGGTTCCGACCTGGGGGGGGGGGGGGGCGCAAACGAACGGATGGACCACTTTGGTCGTTCTCGCAAAGGCGGAAAAGCGATTGGCGATCGCCGTGGCTCAGGAGGCAAAGGTACGGGCTATCCCGGACGAACACCTAAAGAGGGAGGCGTATCTGACGAAGCTCCTCCAAGACCTCTACCGGCATCATAGAGTGAGTGTGCTTCCGAGGCTGCGCTTGTACGAAACCCTTGTTTTTTACCGGTGGGACAAGTAGTACCTGTTGGCGACAACGAGGCACGCCGCCTCCGTCTAAAACGTCTACGCGACGTTTGTTTGCACTTTATTTCTCCGTGGTGAACGGTCGCTGTGGCAGCCACTAGATATCGCGTCGCTTGCGGGTAGGTGTATCGCCAGAACAACTTGGTTTCGAGATCGCGACCACACACACCGCTTCTACTGCTGCTGCTCGGTGTGGAACTAGTCGGTGTGTTTTGAGGGGGTACTAGTCGGCGTACTTTGAGGGAGAGAGGGGGAGTTATCGGTTTCCATTTCAAGTATATGAGAGTGGATACCACGTCCACGTCGGTACGCACCCGGATGAAATCAAACGTGCAGGATGTATGTACAAGTGCGGGGGGTTGCCGTCCTTATTGAAACAAAAAACGCTGCAAGGTTTTGGTTTCTTGAAGTATATGCCTACGAGTAGAATACATGAAAATATCATTAGGAGCAGTCAACGTTCCGCATTCAAGGGCCCGATGTCGATCGCTCATAGATGTGTTCCACTGCTGAGGCGCATGTCGAGCTCCTCAGCCCGAATTCACGAATGAAAGCGTGCTTCGTTTTTCTTTGCAGGCCTTGGTGCTCATTTCTCTGCATGCCTCTGTTTCGTCTGCATGCGCTCATGCGCTTACACGCGCCGGTTGTTTCCCCTTGTTGTAGGAAGAGCAGCAAGGAGGCGCATCGTCGTCGCCACAAGATGGCCCTGCGGTGCTAACGGCCAACGCCGACCCCGTCATAGACTTAGTTAACACAGCGAGCCCTAGCGGGGGTAGCTCAAGTGAAAAGGCACCAGCAGCACCAGCGCCGGCAGCGCCAGCAGTAGCGGTAACGCGCGGTTTGGCGATCCGAGATGCAGCAACAGCAGCAGCGGCAGCGGCAACGCGCGGGTTGGCGGTCCAAGATGCACCCGCCCAGGTACGTGGCGTGGACTATTAACACGGTGCATGCACGCACGGACGGCGTAAGAGCTGTGACCGACACATTTTCCAACCCATTTCCAACCCCAAGCTTCGTGATTTGGAGAAAAGGGCTGCCTCGTAGTCAGAGTGATCCGGGGCCGGAGGGGACGGGAGACATTGGAGCGTGAGGAACTCTCACTCTCCGACAAAGTAGTTCGGCTGTATCATGCCGCAGCTGCTGCTGCTGTTAGGTGCGTGTAGTAAACCCAAAGATAAACTGTGGAGCACCGCCGGAGACGGTTTGCCCCTGCCTGGTGCCTGGTCGTTAAAGAAACGCTGCCGCCGGGAAAGTGCGCGCTCCCAGCCGTACGTAAGCTGTTGCAATACCGAGATCTAGCAATGGTTGCATATCACGGTCAAGGCTTTTTTTGGAGCTCCCAAGAAAAATTTCTTGTCTATTGCTGCGCCTTTCCTCCGTCTTCTTTTCCCCCGCCAGGCTTTGCCTGAACCTGACCCCGCCGCATTGCCGCCGCCAAAAATACCAAAGTCGACGGTTTCGGCGACGAAGGCGCCCGTGCCTACCGCCCTCTCGGCTCCCACCGAGAGCGGTGGCGGCGTTTCTGTCCCCCGGCGGCAGGCAACTAGTCAGCGGGTGGGAGGCAGGGGAGGCGTCACTGCGGCGGCGACGGACGGAAGCGAGCCCGATCCGAACTTGCTCCTGGCGATGGCGATTGGAGGGGGCATGGTTCCCGGCGGGGATGACTTGCTGACCCGCGACGCGAGGACGATAGCGGAGTACATACGCCTGATGTCCTTCGAGGTGTTGGGCGAGGAGGCGCAGGGGCGGGATCGTCCGGTGGAGCGGTGGCATCAGGTGGGGGCACCGATTCGGCGCCGTCTTGTGGTGTTTGTTTTGACCGGATGGAGCATTGTCTTGAGACAAGGAGTGTGTTGTGACCTCTTGTCTTGTTTTGCTTTTTTTATGGCGGTGGTGGCTTTTGTCCGTGTCCCCCCCCGACTTCGTGAACTCGACAACCAGGTTACCGTTTTTTTTTTTTTTTACCTCGGTTTTTTTTTTGGCGGTAACCATAATGGTGGTCGAGTAGATCATGTTGTGCGGGGTCGAGAACCCTCACTCCGCGCAACGGGGGATGATCGCACCACGTTGTGTTAAAATGGTCAAGCTTCCTCGAGGCAGTTACACAGTGCTTACAACTGTCTCTGGAAGTGAAAGCACCAGAAAGTAAATTAAGTCATACGTAGCTGTCATCCGTACGCAAGGAAGTAAGCACAAGATGCCGAACACCCTTAGCAGGATGCAGCTCACCCTTCATGCGACTCGCCAAATACCTCACGGCGCTTCGCGCTTGGTGATGTGAGAGCCTGGTCCGGTGAGAACCCGGCGTGCTCCGTCCCGGCTTTGTAGGGATGCGAGGTCAATGGTCAAACGACTACGGCATGCACGACTATGAGTACACCCCCCCCCCCCCCCCGAAGTGTCTACGCCGCATCCAAAAGCAGGCTGCTGCTCCTACCCCATTCTAATTATGCTACCATAAAACGAGGCCTTGGAACCGGTAGTCAATGATGGAGGGGGCATGGAATGGTTCCCACCTATGCTGTGATGACACAGCTGCTCGGATGCCCGCACTTCTGTCCATGGTAAAACTCAGACCGGGCTGTCCCTGACGGAGGCACTGGACAAGGCCGAGGCGACCGCCGCGCGACCGGCTCGCCTGCCGAACCTGCTAGCCCTTGCCGCGGCCATCCGCCCTGTCGACAGCAGTGCTGCTACTGCCGCCGGTGGTGGCCGTACAAGTGGGGGCGCTACTACTGCTCCCCCCTCGGGGGGAACGAAGCGAAAACGTAGGGATGATGCCGGGAACTCGCCTGGGACAGCGGCGGCGACGGCGGCGGCGGGCGGTGAGCCGAGAGCGGGGGCGCCGGGCGCGAAACGGAGGCGTGTGGACGCGAACGCTATCATGTGCCCCTTCGAGCTCAATGGGGTGTGCAACGACGACGATTGCAGGTGGCCGTTGTAAACGTCTTGTCGTGTTCTTCTTCGTCAAACGGGGTAGAGTTTTTTTTGGTTGTGCTGTGCGAGGTTTGGCTCGAGTAAGTGTTGCGCTTGCGTTTGGTGTGCGCGTTGTGTGTCTACAGTTTGTTTTGTTCGTCGTTGGCGGGGCGATTTCTTGTTCGCACCGGAAAAAACTTCCTCGATAACTGGCAGAGGCTGCTATCCGTCCTCGATGCAAGTCATACGACGAAACGACTAAAACGAATAAACTTGCGCTGCAAGAAGAATTAGGAGACCGCCTTTCTATTTTTTGCTCTCCCCGACTCTTTGGGGGCCCTGTAGGCAATCCCGTTCGACGGCCCGGATGGTGTAGCGCGACGAGCTCCTTGCGGCCAACGACATGTGGCCGGAAGAGAGAAGCGAGCGCTTGGTGTTGACTGGTTGCTGGCGGGAGGGAGGAGTTGGCGTTGGCTTTGCGTGAAGCACAGGAGCATGACTGAGCTTGAAGCTATTTTTTTTGTGGCAAAGGGCGCGTCGTTTGTTCGCACCTCTGCCGGGAACGGCTTTGCTTTGTGTCCGCCCCCCTTTTGTGTGGGCACCCTTTTTGTTGTTGCTTGAGCCGCCAGTGGATTGCTGTGCCAGTCAGAAACATCCCCACCGTTTTCAGCTTTCAATCACGCTCCGCTTCCGGCGGCCTTGAACCGGCGCAGGCTTATTGCAATCAATTCCCCCGTTACACCCAGAGTACGAACACACACTTTTACACTAGCCATGCCGCCGCCCGCCGCCCCCTCTTGCCCAGATACCAGCACTTGGACGTCTACCTACGACCCTCGTTAAACCCGGGCACATCCCCTGCCCCCAACGCTGCATCAGCGGCAGCAAATGGCCAGCCGGCCAAACCCTCGGCATCAGACCCTGGCGGTGCTTCGCCGGTCCCGGGGCCGTTAGCGGCGGCGGCGGCGGCGGCGGCGGCGGCGAGAACTGACGAGAGGCCTTCAGCGCTCGGGCAGCACCGGCTCCCCGCCATCGACTTCACGGGCGCGGCGAAGAGAGACGCTGTTGCCCGCGCTAGAGATAGCGGGCGGCGGGGTGTCGTCAAACCCTCCTCGACGAGGCAGCCATCTTCCGAGACCGGGGGGGGGATGCCGACGGCGGCGGAAGGGGGTACCGCCGATCAGGCAGGCGTCGGCGGCGGCAACGCCAGCGGGGAGTTGGAGGAAGCAGAAGCCGTCGACTCCGGGGAAGAGACGACGAGCGTGGACGGGGAGGAGGAAGAAGAAGACTTCCTCGCACTCCCGACAGAGCGTGCGGAAAACAACGGCGGCGACGGCGGCGAGGTGAGAAAGTTTTTTTTTTCCGAAGTGTGAGAAAGAGGGGTGGATGCAGACAGGAGCAACAGTTGCGCGGGTCCTTGGCCCGTCGACGAAACCTTGTCGTGTGCTTGTCGTTGGGAGAAGGTGGCACATTGCGCAGTCATCGCGCGTGCGGGGGCTTTGCGCACCGTCTTGTATTGATGGTAGGTTAAAAGAGGGGTCGAAGACGCGTGCATCACCGGTGAATCTTGTCGCGAAACCGCCGCCGTTTTTTTTCCGTTTTTGTAACGACGGCAGGCATCCTCCGAGACCGCCGCCGCCGCCACTCCCGAGCAAGCGAGCCCCGCGGTATTGGCAAAAGCTTTCGCTCTTGCAGCTTCGGGGGCTTCAGCCTCCGGCGGCCCTGGCAACGTCGTGAGAGGGGCGGGGGGCTCCGGTGTCGGTCGAGAGGAGCGGTACTACCCAGAGGGTGGAGACGGAAAGACCCAAGGTGCTGCTTCGGCCGCTCTACCGGACGATCAGGTGTGGCGGTGGCGATTCATTCGCGTGTGTGGAGTGACCGCCCTGCTGCAAGCATTTTTTTGTTGCTCTCGCTTTGGGCGTAGGCTTCCGTCCATGAAATGCGACGGTGGCCGTGTTAAGCCGCAACGACCTTCTCAACGACCCCCCTCTCTCCGACCTATGGTATATTTTTTCATCTCGGTGTGGCGTTCCGCTTCGCAGCTGAGTGCGCTGGAGGCCCAGCTCAACGAGGGGGCGAGCTGCGACGTGGAGGGCTGGTTGCTCCTCGCGATGCACCAGCTCCCTCGTACCGGGGGCTCCGTGAAGGCGGTCCTGAACACGATCTCGGTGAGTGTTGCGTTGGCGTTGCACATAGCATACTAGTGCATGCTGCGTACCACGCCCCACCCGCCGCCGCCGCCGCCGCCGCCGCGTTTGTCAAAGTGTCTTCTTCCGTGCTTGCTCTGCTCTGGTGTGTGTTCGCGCTTGCACACACACGCACCCGCCTCCCCCCCTTCTCCTGTCGCCCTCCTTTTGCGTGCCAGAACTCCATGTTTTGGTGTTCGTCCCCGCTCCAGGCGGCCGAGAAGTTTTGTTGTAGAAAGTATGCACACAATCACAGAAAGACTTGTTCCCGCTCGAGATGATACCGCAGCAGTCGAGATGATTTCCTCGGGACCACGTGAAGGAGAAACGTAAGAGGGAATCGCCGCCGTCTGCGCGCTGTAGAGCGGTGATATTGGTGAACGGCAGCAAAGCGCCAGAGTGACTTCCATCGCTGCGGTTTCCGAGACGGGGTTAGGTTAGCAACGCCTGTGCTCCCCGCAGCCACTTGTGGGTGACCTGCTGCGTTTTATCCTACCAAGCATAGCGTCGTAACCGTTGGTTAGAAGGAGCAAGCATGAGGGCAAGACCGTGCATGTGCAAACACTGACGAACAACCAACCTTCTGCCGACGACCCGCAAGTCACAACTGAGTCACCACCACAAACAACACCAACACAACAACAACAGGATGTTGCGTGCGGTGCGAGTGGGCCCATGGGAAGCGTCGACCAAGCCGCAATAAAGACTGCCCTGCGAACGTTCGTCCAGCCCCTGGAGCGGGCAGAAGGAGGGCAGGCAGAGGTGCTGTGGCTTTTGTACCTCAGGCTGTTCGCTTTCCTTCCCGGAAAGAGCGAGGACGCTCTTGGAATGGCAGAATACGCCCTAGAGTGAGTGGACGACATACACACATGGGAATAACTGTGTTACACTTGCCTACGGAGAACTGCAGTACTCTGGGACTCGGGGCGGGGGAACAAGGGCAACAATCTGCGATGAGAGAACACTTTTTCGTTTATTTTTTATTTTTAGTGATTGGAACGACTGCCGCAGTTGAATTTGAACAGCAAGCGGCTACCGACAGTAGTCCTGTCGTGCTCGCGGAAACACGCGTGTGTACATTGTCCTAATATTCATGACGTTGTCGGAACTCTCGTTATGTTTTTTATGCGTTGTATTGCAGGACATTGCACACAGCTATGTATGGTGTGCCCGCATGCCCCACCTCGCCTCACAACACGATGCGGACAGGCTCTCGTTCTCTCAATAATGCCGGCAAAGGGTCGTTTTGTCAGCCATGGGCTTACATTGTACCGCCTGCACGGGAGATTCGTGCAAAATACCAACGCTTCCCCCCCTCACGGCTGACGCCCAAACCTTGCCGCCCTGCTGCACAGGAAGTTCCCCACGTCGCGACGGATCTGGAGGCTCTACCGCTCCATGTTGCAGACCTCTCCGGGGTGGAGCCTGTCGGAAGATGTCTCGTGTTACCGTAGGCAGATCGAGGCGCTCCTGCTCCTCCAGCCGCGGGCCGCAGATATGCGGGCTTCACCACGAGACGGTAGCAGCAGCGGCGGCGGCGGCCCCGGTGCGAAGGCGACGAGTTCCGGATCGCTGGGCAAAAACAAGAGCGGCGACGGTGGCACCGGTGGCACCGGCGGCGGCGGCGGCGGCGCAGAGGCGAATGTGAAGATGATTGTGTACCTAGTCCTCGAACGCTGCTCCCTGTTGGCGGAGGCCGGGTACAAGCTCCAGGCTGCCGCTGAGATCCTCGACAGCCTCGGGGCTCTCGCGGAGGGCCAGCCCCTGTGGGGGTGGGACGCCCGGGACGGGCAGGGGAGGAGGACGCTCCTGAGGACTAGCGAAGGCGGCGGCCACGAAAGGGAAGGGGAGGGGGGCGGAGCTAGAAGAGAAGGAGGAGGAACCAAGGCGGGAGGTTCCACCGAAGCGAGCGACGACGATGGCCAGCGTTTACCGGCGGTGAGCAACGGCCGCGCCCCGTCGGCTATTTTTTTTTTTTGCTGTTTTTTCATGTGGTTGTGTGTCCGTCGTGTTGGTCGTGGCACCACGATAGGGTCGTGTTCGTGTGTTTGTCTTGGGAAATGTTTTTCTTTCGCGTTTTGACGAGGGACCCAAGCTCCCGTCTGTGTCTCTTGCGGTGCGGGGTTCCCACAGCTTCCATGTGGTTCCGAGTGCGACCCCTCCATTGATCTGGCTTGCGCCCCACCCCCCCCCCTCTCTGGCCGCTGTGATTGATGTTTTGCTCGCACCCGCACACGCTCAACCGGGCGGTATCCTTGTCATTTTCGTGGCTCCTGCCGGAACAGGGTGTGGCGGCGGCGCTGAAACACGCGCCGCGCGACTCGCGGTGCGTGCTGTGGTTGACCGCGCTGCACCTCCTCGTCATGGGCGTGTTTCCCCACCACGTGCTCACGCTTGCCGAGAACGACTGCGGCGGCCTCGGCGGCAGCAACGACACCACCGCCGCAGGCGGTGGCCTTGCGGACTTGCTCTTGTGGCCTGCGGAGTGGCTGTCCCCCAAGAGCAGCGCGATCCTCCGGCTGTCGGCCAGCCCAGACCTGCAGGACGCGACCCTGAAGACATTCATGACCGCCCTGTCCGACGTGGGGCTGCTCCCCCCGCCGAGGAGCAAGGGTTGCTGGGCTCCCGCCATCAAGGACCGCGACGCCCTTCTGTCCAGCGCGGCCGAGGCGAAGGCCGCGCGGGCCGGAGGCATGGCGCCGGACGCCTCTGCCCTGGAGGGGCCCCCGCTCGTGCTCGCGCTGAACTGGCTCGCGTTCTGCCTGCGGCGCGGCCGGGTGGACGCGAGGCAGGGGCGCATGATGGCGTTCGCGTGCTGCCGGAGGTTCCAGCTCTCCCGGCCCGACCAGCCGGCGCTGCTGGAGCACTTCCTGCTCGAGCACGCCGTCTCCAAGACGAGGACCCTGGGCGACACCTACCACGAGATCTCCCGCGCGTTCGACGCCGACGGGGTCGCCGCGGGAGCCTTGCGCGAGAGGCGGGATGGCGAGGGCAAGAGCGCTAGCTTTAACCCTGCCGGCGCCAGAAGCAGGAACGAACAGTCGGTGAACTTGGTGCCCCCGCCGTCGGGGGAACGGATCCAGGCGGTGTACGCGTTCCTGCGGTTCGTCGAGTCGCGGCTGGAGGCCGCGCGGTCGGAGTCGGAGTCGGAGTCGGAGTCGGCGAACGACGCCGGTCGAGGTGCGCTCGAAGACGCGCGGCGCGTGCTGCGCGACGCTCTGGTGGGCATGTGGATGGGGGCGGCGGCGGCGGCGGCGAGCGCCGCCGGCGGCGGCGCTGCCCGCTCGGACTCCGACCGTTGGCTCGAAGAAGAAGGCGGGGAGTCGGTGCGGCGAGCCCTCGAGGGCGCCAAAGCTTCTCTGTTTCGCTGGGCGGACGGCGGAAGTGGTGGCTGTGATGCTCCCGGGGGAAATGGGGAACGTCAACTGTCAACGATCGTCTTTTCCCTGTGGGTTCTGGGGGGCGCTTCTGCTGCGATTGGGTCTCTGGACCATATTCTCAGCGCTGAATCGTTTTCGGGCGTATCGGCGGAGCGGAAACGGCTTGCGTGGCTGCAGAGGCTAGAGGCTGCCATGATTCTGTCGACGCAGCAGCAGCAGAAGCAGCAGGTGCGCGTAGCTGTCGGGACATTTATTTGCGTGCAGTTTTTGTTCTGTTTCTTAGAAAACACCGTGAATGGTATCTACCGGAGCCTGAGCAACCCTTCATGCGACCAACCCTCGCCTCCAAACTGCGAACTGACACCTCAATTGGTGGCTCGTCCTTGCTCCCCCGCCCGTGTTCGCCTGTACACACGATCCACCTCGTACTGCTGTGGCAAGGCGTCCGGGGTAGATGCCATGCAAGGAGTGCGGGAAGTGGCTCTGCGTGCTTTGGCGGATCACCGCACGGAACGAAGGTGTGTGTTGCCGTGAGTTTGGTCCGTGTTTATTTGTTGTTTGGTTGTCTGCCCGCTATCGACAAGATTGGAAGAATGAGCTGCCAGTTCAATTGGGGCGAAACCAGACGGAATTTGCTGTTGATGACTCGCTCTTGAGAGGCACGCTGCCATCCGCACCCCAACTAGGCCGCCTTTCTTTTTTGTGCCCGAACGACGACCCCAGTCCCCCATAAACCCTGCGCTTCCGAACAAACAAAACAGGGCGGGGTATCCGTCGCTTGCGCATTTCGTGGCGGCGACTCTCGACCGCCCGCCGGCGACCGAAAGCCCCGTCAGGGACTCCAGCTGCCAGCCAGGAAAGTCTCTTTCTAGATACACTCCTTCCGCGCCCCTCGCGACGGACTCGGCGGCATCGTCGTCGTCCTTCGCGTGCGACGTCTTGACGGTGTACGCGAACCACTTCCGGGAGGCGAGGAGGGGGGGCGTCGACTGGGTGGTGGCCGCAGAGGCCCTGGGGGGCGTGTCGGCCGCGGCGGCGGCGGCGGCGCACGCGTCGTGCGCAGCGCTGGCGCTGCTCCGGTGGGTAAGTTGGGCCGACCATGACGAGAGCGGAGCAGTAACCGCCGCGAGCTTGGTGGACGGTGCGTCTGCGCTGAAGGCAAACGCCCGCCCGTACGTCGAAATGGCGCTGGCCATGAACCCGGCGGACACGGCCCTGTGCGGCGCCGTAGCCGCACTTTGGGCGGCAACGGGGTCTCCGGACCTTGCGCAGCGAGTTCTGGAGGCGGCGCTGCGAGCCCACCCGTACTGCGCAGAGCTGTGGGAACAGCGGGTTGCTCTTGAAGCGGGGTTTGGGAGCGGGTCGACGGAGCGCGCCGGCGCTACGGCAGCGGCCGCGGCGGGTAGCAGAGTCATGTTGAGGTTGAGGTGCGGGGGGAAATTGGGCGGGCAAACCCCGAGCGGCCTGCAGGCGCGAACGGCCGGCCGGATAGCGACGGCCATCAGCCACCCTCCCTCTCGACGAGAAACCAAATCGTTCTCTCTCCAGGCCGCGCTGCGCGCTCCCCCCGGCTCATCAGCGCCCGTGGCGGCGGCGGCGATGGCGACGATAGAGGTTCCCAGAAGCATATTCCTGATGACTAGCCTGACGAGTCTCTCGTTGGCGTTCAACGGCCTTCTGTCCGTGCCGGCCGCCATCGGAAGCTTGTCCGTCCTGAGATCCCTGGACGTTTCGGGCAACGCGCTCGCCTCGCTCCCGCAGTCGCTGTCGAGGCTGTCGGGCACTCTCCGGCTGCTGCGCGCGGCGGGGAACCGGCTTCAGTCGCCGCTTTCCGCCGCCACCCCTATCGGCGACCTCGTCGGCCTGCGCGTGCTGGACCTAGAAAACAACGAGCTGTCGAACTTCCCGGGAGTGGTGGTGCCAACGCTGACGCAGCTCCGTAGCCTGAAGCTCGCGGGGAACGAATTTTCGGAGCGAGCCCCGGCGGGGTTGTCAGATGCTCTCCCTTTCCTAGAGGAGCTTTCCTTGCCTTCGTTAGCCTAGGCGTTCTCGGTGGTTTTTCGGGCACGGCTGGCGGCGTTTCGAGTTGTTCCTTGCGTCAGTCGTCGGGCGATAGTAGTAGTGATACCGCAGAGGGTGCACACAAGTGCAAGAGCCACCAGGCCGTATCGGCTGTGCTATAGTAGGTGCATGCCCTGGTATGGCCAAGAACCGGGAAAGGAGATCCCATTTGTCTCGTGAATTTTCTGTCACCGGGATTTCGTGAGTCGTAAGAAATCGTCATCGCCAGCACAGCAGTTGTAGGTAGGTGTCCACGCGAGTGGCTGTTGCGGTAGCCACGATGTGACCGACGCCCAACCAACCCCAAGAAACAAAGATCTGCGGCCCGTTGCCTGTCGAGGGTGAGCGAAATGGAACTCAGGATCACGGCTAAGTTCTTCAGTTCCATCAATTGGCTTCTGATGACGAAGTGACGCAATAAAGCAAGCCACGGCAACCCATTTTTAGCTCCATCCACATTGGGAGCCGAAGCGCAGCATCCATAATTCTGTGTGCATGCGAGAACCTCACAGTGCTGCTGTCGAAACTGTCTGTACCGTTTTCAAGGCGGGCACTGTAAAACACCTAAATTTCGTCGCCGCACACGGTGCAAAGTAGTTAAGCGATGAATAGGACTTGCCACGTGACGCGATGCTGCTACCGATCATGATCAAGGCGTGGAGAGAACCATGGCACCACCATGCGTATCCATCGCGCTGGTGGCAGCTTGATTCTCCGCTACATTCCTCGTCGCCTGAGTGAGTCCAGCAGCTGGTGCTGATTGCCAAGGGTGGTTCTCGGCTCTCTGTGTGGAAATAACCTCTCGGTTTCAGAGAAGACAACGCGGTAGTCTACCAGCGGTGCATTGCTGCTGCACGCTTGCCGTATCGCAGCAACGTTCATCAAAACGCCGCTTCGGTGCGTACAAATACCACCAGTGATCCCACATTCCAACTATAGGAATACATCAACGACGTTAAGAGTCCCAGTAACCGTAATACGGATTGCGCCGCAGAAATGAGTGACGAACGACCAGACCCGTACTTGCGCCGCCATTCGACGAGACGCAAAACGAATGACGCCAAGACGACAGCTTCTAAAAGTCGTCTCTCTCTTCGGAGGCCGTGCATTCCGCACACTCTCTTCCCACGGGTCTCGCGATGATCTTCAACGGAAGTGGTCCCACTTTCCCTCGAGAGCGCGTATTCTACGATCGACTTGTTATCGATTCATGACGCGCCGATAGGTCCACCAGCCGACGCACACCTGATCCCGTCAACATCTCCATAGAACGCTGTAAAACGCAAATCCACCCGGCCGGGTGGTCGTACCTAGCGGCAGGGTCCAACGTGCAAGCCCCTGTATACGCCCCCCCCCCCTGCCCTCCAACTACATTTCCTTCGAGTCATAATCATCTACAAGGTGAATGTTCGATCCACCATGGGTTCAAGCGTCGGGAGGTCGACGCTAAAGCTACCGATCTTCTTGCGGGCTGCCGCCGCGGGTCCGACGAGCTGCTCCTTCGCGTTGGCCACGTAGATGGTGCCCTTCTGAGCGAACATGATCGAACTTGGGTGGTATCGCCCGTTGGAGATGGGGATCTTTTGTGGGAGGGCCAAGCAAAGAAAAGGCACGCGCGTAAATCACGAGACAAACGAGGACGAAGGAGCGCGGTTAGCGATGCGAGGTTCTTGCTGCATGTCGCCGGCAGCCGGGATAGTGAGGCGCTTGCGCGCTGAACGGGATGGGGGTGCTGATCGATGATTGTGGCGTAGGTACACGCCCCTTCTTCCCGCTACTGGACGGTATGATGCAACCACGTTCGGATGCCAACGATACTGGTCTGGGGGCAATGAGTGGCCTTCAGCCTCCTCCCCCCCCAGTGACAGTCTCCTTCAACAAAAAAGGGGCCCAACGTCCACGTATCGGGAAACACGTTCGATGCGCCCTCTACACCACACACCTGCTCGTCATGTCCACGCTACACCGGAAAATCCGCGACGCGGAACAAGGCACACGAGCCACGTGCCGCCCGCGGCCGTTCCTTCCATCACACACTCAGTAAATACGACCACAGCCCATTCGCCGGAGCCCCCCCGGCGCAACGAGACACACAGCAGCAGCGACCAGACCCGCCCAAAAAAAATATCGTCGCACACACCTCGTACGACACGATGAGATTCCGGCGGGGGCCTTGCTCCGGGATATCCAAAACGAGGTAGTCGATCCCTTCGTTACCGAGCGGACTTTGCCGCTTCGGCGCTCCCGGGATCGGGCGCCGAACCAACTTCCAGTACCCGACCTCGCCCGAGTTGTTGAACCTGGCCAGCTTGTTCTCGCGTGCCGTCAGGAAATCAGCCCCGTTTTTAGCCTGCGTCACGGGCACGGGAGGGAGCGCAGATTGTGTGTGCGGGGCAGGGGAAATCTGTGTGTGTGTCCCACTGCTGTGTTGTGTGTGGCGGTGCCACAAAACCACACCGGCCTCTGCAAAGTGGCTCAAAAACGAGAGTGGCATTGGCTCTGCCAAGCTTAGGGCCATGGGAGGACAGGTGCACACATCTTGCCCGACATTTGCTTCTGAGGTGGCTGTCGAAAATGACCGTAGCAACGCGCAACACCGTAGCAACGCGCAACAAGCGGTGCTCAAACTTGACATTTTTTACGTGCCTTGTTCAGAGCATGTGATTCTCAGCGATGCATACGCTGTACATGGACGTTGTGCGCAGCCGTCCCTACACGCACCGGCCGAACTCCGGGGATCTGGGGCCTCCAGTTTGATGCGTTGCAAAATTAAAAAGTTGAATTGTTTGCGCACTCTGTACGAGACTTGACTACACAAAATTGTGGGTAGACCACCAACAAAGTGCTTAGGGCGGGCAAAGCCCCTAAACGCATGTCACCCAGACTCTGATCCCCGTCTCCGGTGAGCACGGCCGCCTCAACGTGGGTGCGCCTACCTGATCCCGCTTGAAAAAAAAATCTCGCGTGATCCTCCAGTCGGCCTTGGCGAACGAGCCGTCCTGTGTGTGTTTCGGAGAGGTGTGGTGTCAGGGGTGTGAGAAAGGGACGTAAGAAAAGAACCGAAGGAAATAAACTTTTTCCATACGTGCGTTGTGAGACGAGGATGGGTTCAAACGCAGAGCTTGGTTGCATGTGACTGCTTCGAAGATTGTAGCAGTTATGTCTTTACGGGGGTGCATCGCAGGGTGAGGGTGAGGAAGTCGCAATGGATCGGCGTCCAACAAATCGATCACCTCGGAAGCTGAAAGCGGGCTAGTCGCGAATCAGCCGAATCAATGTGTAGGCCCATTTCAGCCAGCGGGTTTAAATCAACTGGCCCGACCTTGCGTGCTCTGATGCAAATTTTAACATGGCCCACAGCAGTGCAGAGGGCAAAACCTGGGATAGCCGTGGCCAATAGCAGTGTAGCTACCACATTGCAGCAACACGTCCTCGTTTTCACACCATTGCGCTGTGCCGCCGTGTCCCCAACACTCGCTGTGTCCGCGCACAAAACACAACACCACAATAGCAGTTATTGATGGCAACTAATAGCTTAGGTGTGATGTGGTTGGAGGGAATAGTGTGAGTCCGCCGTGTGACGTCGTGGTAACTCGGGTCCTCGACACAGAGCAGTGCCGGCCCGCTCGTAAGCATGTCCGTAAGAAACCGAGGCTCAGATTTTGGACAACTTACGAAAAATGTCCTAAGAAATTAAGCGTAGCGGCCGGCGCTAAAAATACATAGAAGCCTTTGCTTGGTGGGGGACAAAATAAGGTATGAGTGAGCCTCGCTCAAAATACGAGGTACCAGGCGGGTGTTTCTTGTGGGCGTCGCCGGCACTGCATGTACGGAAGGGTGCAGGTGAAGCACAGCTAAGTAACATAACTCTCATACCTAATTAATAGCATATTTGTACGTAGACCAGCTCAAAAACAAAGAAGGTGGGAAACGCGGTACAGCATCAACCCATTCCAACACATGCAGACATGGGGGCAGGTGGCGTGCGTCTATCATCAGACCTACGCCTAAAGCCGTTGTCTTCAGCAGCAAGCAGCAGCGGCAGGGATCACAACACCGCCGCCTCTCTGAGACCGCCGCGTGTGCATGATAACCATGCGCGCAGTTGGCTGCCCGAAGTATAAATCAATGCGCCAATTAGCAACAGCAGCAGCACCAAGATACATCCGTACCTGTACCAATGGTGTGTTCTTGACGGCACCTTTAATCCCGCGGCGGCTGTTCATTCGTGCGGTAGCTAGGTCCAGGAAGACGACAAGCAGCAACAGCAACAAGCCAACAGCCGCACGTGGCGCTGCTACCCCTGATGATGTTGGTCTACGCCTCTGAAGCAATGCAGCCATGATTAATCGCTTCACGGCAAGTCGGTCGGTGAAAAACGGACAATGCTACAGAAGAATGAAACAACAGTGCTCAGCCACTACGGACGAGCAGGTAGGCTCTCTGCTCTGATGGTGTGCGTGAACACGACGGTCCCTGCTGTCGTGAGACGTGAGAAGCTTCCCGGCCGCACCCCCAACGATATTGCGGAGCCCCCTCGTCGCTGTGAGCGAGCTCACACAGCACATGATACATTGTTCATTGATTCTGTGGAGGAAGCAACACCGCCACGATCGATGATGCGACGGCTCACCTTGGGTATCGCGGTGTTAACTTCCTGGGTGGAGATCGTTGATGGTTTTGGCCTCAATGCTAGGCCCTTGTCTGCTGCGAGACGGCCGCACCACCATAGAGAAACAAGATTACGCGTCAAACAACCCACCACCACAGCAGAAACCGTGGTGGAAGAAAGGACGTTCAGCAGCACCACCACCAGCACCACCAGCCCACTTCGCCGCGACTCACGGCCGGCATCGAAGCGCGGACGGGCAAACCGCGCGATCAAGCGGCGGGCGCGCAGGTTAGCTCGTCTGCGCCGCAAGAACAAAGCGAGGGAAGACGCCTTGGAACTGGCTGCGGAGGCCCTGATCATCAATGACGTTGCACGGGTCCCGAACTCCACCTACTTCCCTGCACGGCGGCGACCGGCCGGCGGACGCGTTGCAACGCCGGCAGCGGCAGAGCAGGAGCGTGCAAGGCTGGTAGAGGTAGCAGCGCCGCCCGCGAGGGATTCAGCACCAGAAAACTCGATTTTCTTTGCCGGAGTCGACACCGAAGATGCCGATAGCTTCGACCCTCGTCCGCGTCGTTCTTCGCCGTCAACCTTGGCAGAAGCGGCCAAGAGACGAAAGAAGAAGAAGCACGCCACCATAAAAGGCCGGCCCATCGTCAAGGGCGGGAAGGACCGGGGGCTCTGGAGGTCGATCTTCGGCCCGAGACCGCTGCTGGAGGTGCATTCCATCGACCAGCTTTCGCAGCTCGTGGATGCGGAAGGGTGGGGGTTGGAAGACCTATCGGTGCTCACGGGTGGGCCCAGGCCTGCCGAGAGTGCTGCCGCCACCAGTACGACCCCTGCTATTGCTGCCGCTGACGCCGATGACGTGGCACTGGAATCATTAGCAGCGGCGGATGGAGCGGCAAGCAAGGTTGCCACCGAACCGGGTGTGACGTCAGGCGGGGGCGCGGCTCCAGCAACGGTGGAAAGCAACGACGACGGTGAGGGTAACACTGCTGCTGCAAGGGCGGAGGATATTCCTGTTTTCCCGACACCGCCAATTCCCCCGCAGGAGGAGCTGCACCCGGCGGTGCAGGCGTTGCTGGAGAGGGCCACCGCGGGGACGAAGCCGTCCATGCACGGAGACGGAAGGCGCATCGGCCTCGCCATCGAGGGCGGTGGGATGCGGGGGTGTGTCGCCGCGGGCATGGCCTCGTGCTTGCACTTCTTGGGGATGGCGGACAGCTTTGACTGCGTCTACGGCGCTTCGGCGGGTAGCCTGATCGGTAAGATGTCACTGACGTGCACCAACTTCTGCGACACGCTTTGCTATTTTTTTGAGAGCAGTGGTTTTCATACGGCGGTGTTTGACGGGGGCGGTTTGTTCATCTCGTATTCTGCGGCACCTCAAGCGTGGGAGAACGTGGTTGAAACGTCGTTGTCGCGCGGCAGGTGACTGTGCCTCACAGAAAAAATATCAGCATGTGTCTTGGAGCCTGGACTCCACCCAGGGCTACTACCGCGTTGACGTCCTTCGTGTCGTCAACGCGGCAGTCGCGCAGAGAGTAATTACTGCGGAATAATTGTCGGCGATGTAAAGTTTGGGATTAAATGAGGCCTCCTGCGACGGCACGGGATCCACCCATACTTCATCGTATCAATGTTCATTTATCAATCCCTGTCGTTGCCTGAGGTTTCCGATACTTCCATTGTATTTCCTCATATTCCTTATCGTTACAATATCCGAATGCAGAAACGTTCGGCGACGCTTTCTTGCAACGGAAGATTGACAGCCTCAATGAACAGCAGCTGCCCATTCACCGTCGATCCTGACGTCGCTATCGCTTAGCGGAGGAACTCCCCGCAGCTGCCCATTCTCCGTCGGTCCTGGCCTCTCGCTATCGCCTAGCGGAGGAACTCCCCGCGTGTGTCGTCGGACGTACATACGTGCCGCTGGGCCATCCCCCGTCTGGACAGCGGAGCCGTTGTTCCTCTCCACTTTTAATCACGGCTGCTGTGTGAGATGTGCGTTGACAGGCCCGTCGTACTTCTCAACAAATGGAAACACCAGGCAACCCGCGTGTGTTGTCCCCCCCCCCCTTTCTGCATCATTCTCTCTTTTGCCCTTTCCTGACAAGGCGCATACTTCGTCAGTCGCCAGTCGAACGGCACAGCGGTGTACCACGACGTTCTCCCGTCCGCTGGGGCGAGGTTCATAGACATGGCCAAGTTCCCGCAGGCGCTCGGTTTCGAGCTGCCGAAGGTGCCAAGGAAGGGCAACGGCGGTGCAAGCGGCGAGGAGGAGCTTGGCGCCCTGGAAGCCGCCCGCGCGGCGAGCTTTGCCCGGGTGATCGGGCTCGATTTCTTGCTGAAAGACGTGGTGGGCAGGGTACACGGTTTGGATTTCGACGCCTTCAGCGCTAACGACAAGCTGCAACCCTTGCATGTCGTGGTAAGTGAGAAGTGACGGGCCGATCGGGTACATATCTGTTTCTTCAGTTGTATCAGCGATACCTGAACTCCTGTTACTGCGGTGTACCGAAGCTTGTTTTCTGGCAGGCGCGATAGACGGCTCTGTTTTGTATCACGTGGGAGTTATCTACCTCACTGGCTGTGGAACCGGCTCCATGGCCAGTGTGTTTCACCGTAGCCCCCCCCCCCCCCTCCCCCCGCGCGCCTGCTCAGCCTTGGCAATCGTTTCAGCGGGCTGTCCAGTCGTTCTACCTCACGTCCTTGAACCACGCCGATTCCCCCTCCTTGCTCCGTTCCGCCCAGGCGAGTGGAGTGAGCAGCATGGGCACGGTGTCCCTTAGCCTCCAGGAGAGGGTATTTTTCCACGCTAGACGAGCTCACCGGCTGCATCCGCGCCTCGATGCTCGTGCCCGGGCTGGCGGGCCCCCTAGCATCAGTGCCCAAGCGGCGGGGGGGGGGGGGCTCGTCGTCGACTGCTGATTCGGTGGCGGTACCTCGGCAGGAAGAGCGAGTTACAACCCTGCCGCCGACGTCAGGCACCGATAGCGACAACAGAGCTGGTGGGGAAGGTCGCGAAACCGTAGTGACGGCATCGTCGCCGGTGGACCGCGAAGGCCGTGAAGAAAGCGGGCAGGAATCGGGTAACGGCGCTGGGGAGCTAGCGACAACCCAGCCTCGAGCTGGCTTTTTGGGTGGTGGCAAAGGGGAGGCAATGAAGGAGGAGGAGGAGGTGGTGGTGGTGGTGGAGGAGGAGGAGGAGGAATCGTTACGAAAAGAAGGAGAAAGGGAGGTGCCGGTAGCGGCAGCGCCAGCCGAGGCCTTGGAGAGCAGCGCTGGCAAGAAGGAGGGTACGATCGGCGGCGGTGATGCATCAGAGCTCTTGGTAGATGCGATGGTTTTTGAACCGCTTCCCTATAGGTGAGCCGAGGCGAAAGAGTTGCGGCAGCGTTGTTATTGGTGGGCAGCTTTTGTTGAAGCGATTGCTTGGCACGTCTCGTCTCCGTCCCACCGCGGGGTGGTCTGGGGCGTTGAAAGCATGCCAACAGCAAGTGTCCTGCTTGCTTGCCGTCGCTTGCATTGAGTACGGCTGTATATTATGACTGTACAAGGGTCGAGCTTGTTGTAAACCAGACGCGTGTTAATGAAGCGATCCACGTGTCGACGAGGGTCAAGAGAAAACATCAAAGCTTTCCACTGAAGTGCATGTGACGTGCTTAGCGAAATGGAACACAGCAGTGCACGGCCCTTTGTCTTCATACCCTCCCCACTCCGTCCGCCCATCTTGTCGTTGGCGTATTCTTCTCCCCTCAAATGATCGTCCGCTCATCCCTCGGTCCCTTCTCACCACTGCTCCACGTGCATACTTGCCAAATGTATACCGAACAGGTCGGCAATCGAAGACGGTTGCACGGATGTGGTGGTGCTCTGCACCCGTCCCGAGGGGAGCCAGGTGCTTGGCAAGGTGAGACATAAATATAAAAGAGCATTTCCCACCGAAAATATGTCGTGGCATCGAGGCGAGACCGCGGGTTCTGCTCAGGTTGCGTCCCGTCGGGCACAGCAAGGCCTACCAGCGGTCTTTTGCTCGCACCGTTGCGGATATCTGTACATCTTTTTACCGGCCCCAAGCCGTATGTTCTCGCCCTACACCCTCCTCGACGCGTGAACGCTGTTTATTTCGTGTGCTGCTGTTTGATTCTTCTGTAGCTCCCTGTCTCCAACGCCGTGATTGTGCTCAAGTGTTGCTCACATGTGGAGTGGAAAGTGCCACGACTACATCGTCGTGCTGAACTGCGCCGCGCGTGCTTTGTCGTTTCACAACACTTTTACTTTTTTTTTATGTCCCCGCGTTGTCCCCTCTCCGTGCGATCAAATCAAAATCCACAAGAAACCGAGTATCTACGAGTCGCGCGTGGTGAAGAAGTTTTTCGAGCAGCACGACGACCCCATCACTACGTCTGGGATCAGCAACTATTTGCAACAGGTACAGCAACTATTTGCGAAGCCTCTCCCTACACACTCGCCATCACGTTGCCTTGAAAACTCGGAGGACATGTTCGCCAAATTTTATGCAGGATACGAGTGACATGAAAACAACACTTGCACATTAGGTAGCCAGTGCTAGATCGCCCGTGGTGTCAATTAGCTGTGCCGGTTAGGGGATGGTAAATGGCCGCAGCATCGCCAAAGCGCGGCGGTCAGCAGCGACGACACTTACATCAGTAGTGCTCAAGCCCTGCAATGGACATGCAAGGTGCTGCACCCCAAGTAGAATGCGGCGGAATTTGAGTCTAGAAAATATGTTCGAGTGTACGCTGACTCCCCCGCCCCCGCTCTTCCCCGCTCATCATTGCGCCCTGGGCCACAATCCCAACTTGTTCACAGCTGGAGCACCTCAGGGTGTACGCCGAAGACGCGCTGGTCCTTGGCGAAGGATCTCGGTCGGGGGTTGCGCAGGCGGCACCGAAGGGGGGAGCGGGGGAGGGGCGAGAAGCGTTTCTGCTGGCGATCGCGCCGGCGGCGGCGTCCAAAGAGGTCGGCCAGTTGGAGATGGATCGGAGAGTGATCCTCCAGGGGTGCAGAGACGGTTTCGCCGCTTGCTACGATGCCTTCGTTGGCCCCGCCAAGTCTTTGGCGGCAGCTGCGGCGGACGACGGAGCGGACGTGGTCGGTCCGTTGGCACGGTGAGCAAAAGCCGCCGGAACGGAGAAATATGGAAGGAAACGGATACGTGTAGCCTTGACCACGCACGGTACTCTGCAGGCAACTCGTCGGCGTGAGCGTCTCCGCTCCGGGGGCATATCTTTTGTGCTATCTCTCCTTGGCGAGTCTCACATATACCCATGACTCACCAAAGCTGTGTTGTCCTAATATTGATTATGCCGGCTTTCGCGCCCCGGGAATCCCCTCACCTCACCTCACCCCCTCCCTCCTTCCTTGACGGAATCAATGTCAGGTCGGGCGCGGAAGTGGCTCTTGAGTATTTCCCGGACTCGTTGCTCTCCACCCCTGCGGACATCAACGCCACTTACCTGGAGACGGGGCATTTGATTTCGGACAATCAGGGGCAGGGTTTGTTTTCGCCCTTGCCTCCTCTTGCGGGGACGACGGCGTCGGAGGCGTCGGAAGGCGTTGGTGGTGGTCGTCGTGGGTTCGGGAGGTCGTGGCTCGGCCGTAACAAGGGCGGGGGCGCTTCTTCTCTGTCACCGCTTAAGATTTCGCCGTCAGATGGAAGGCGGGGCCTGCTGCGGCGACTCCTTTCACGAAGCAAGCTCAGACGAAAGCCGCAGGCTTCTTCCTCGCGGTCCGCCGCTCCTGCCCCTGCTCCGGCGGAAGCTGTGGTGACGGGAGGTGCCGAGAGTGTGAGCGCCGCTGCCGCCGCAGCGGACCCGGCGCGGTAGCGGTGCACGGGTTATAGCTTGTATGGCGTCTTGGTGGTGCGCAGTGAAACAGGTTTGGTAGGTCCCTCGTAGCCAGGCAGGCGGGGGAGTTTCACGGACGAATCGAAAACCGCGACGTTTTCGGCCGTACTGCTGTGGTTGGAGGGTAGCCAGTGTGTCGTGTATTTTGCCACAGTTTTATTTGATTGGCTTGAGACTATGCACAAGTGGGGCGATGGAGGGCAAGTGGACTGCTTGAGACACCATTACGCCCCCTGGCAATATATTCTCGCCAACTGTTGTGAAACGTTTTCGTAAACGCTTTTATACGAATTTTGGGGCTGTTTCCCGCAATTATACGTTCGCCGGCCTCCAACACTTCTACATAAAACATCAGCTTGTATTGGCTGCTTGCTTTTTTTTATGGCGTTCCCAGGTTTTATTAAGTTGTTTTTTGTACTTTTCGAGGGGGTTGGGCGTTTCACGACAGCAGGTGTCGAGGCCTCTGTCCTCTGTCCGTTTCTGAGTTGCAGGAACACCAACATGCAATGACGGCACCACCGAGCTGGGCGTCGTTTTCTTAGCGCTCGGTCGGGCAGTTGATGTCCTCGCCGAGGAATGTCGGTCTTAAGCTGGACGGAGCATTTTTTTTTTTTGCTTGCAGCCGAGAAAAGAATCGGGTCCCTCTCGAAGGTGTGATGGCTGGCAGCAGAGTTGCCGAGGCCTTAGCTTTCTTTCCGTCCTGCTGATTTCCGTACGTTTTGTTTTTTTGCTAGTCTTGTCAGTTTCTAGCATTGCTGTGTGGGGGGCGGGGAGTGGTGGCGGCTTTACGCACATGTTGATATGTTTTTGCGCTTGTGTGCCATCTCTGCGGGACCGGGGGGGGTACTGTTATGTTTGGCATGCCTTAGCGGTTAGACCATCGACCACGCGTCCTCGAGAGGACGGAGTATTCTTCTGCGGGACCGGGGGGGTATACAATATATTGATGTTTTTTGAGTGTTTGGCGCGTTGTGTTTCATGTTTCCATTCTCGGCCTGCACTTCGTCTCGAGGACGGATCGCGCGCATGGTGTTGTGCGTATATTCAAATAGGGGTATTCAAATAGGGGTATGCTCATGACTCCACAAAAACACTCGTTGGTCACCTCTTCTTCGTTGGTACCATGTGCACCAACAACCAAGGCTCAACGCATGATTGTCGACACAAACGCTAACCAGAGATACTCCGACATTCCGCCTTCATTGCTGCGTCCCGGAGGGTCATGGCGAACGCGCCTTTCACGTTGATCGTGCGTCTAGGTCTCCGAACAGGGCGGAAAGACACGGAAGTTCGTTCGTTTTCTACCGCAGCCTGCGCAAAGACACCCGTAGGGCCGAAGAGGAGTCGGAAGAACTTTCGATACGTTATTCAGCGATCAGGGGGAGGCGACGGGCGAAGCCATGTTGACGCCCCCAACACAATGGAAACTACGGACCCCTGCCCTGCCGTGCCACTGGTATATTCGTCCTGGTTGAGGTTGTACGAATAGTATGCCACTACGAATCGTCGCCCGCCCTGGCTGGTACAGAGATGAGAGGCGGCATGGAGCCACGCCATGAGCTGTGCGAGCCCCTCAGTGAACTTGAAAGGCACGACATAAACCTACCAAAAGTAGGAAGAACTTCTGCTGGTAGCGTACAACGGGTTTAGCGTCTGACCGCCATGTCTCACCACCCCCGTTCGTGCTATCCCGTGTTGAGTAGGGTCCATACGGATTTTTCCTTTCCGCATCCTAGACAAAAAAGTTATGATCTACTCTACTGGTGCTTCTTTTTGTTTTTTCACAGCGGCACGTTGAATCCATTCGCGTTCTCGCAGCTCAACGCAATGTGGCCCGGGCGGAGGCACCAGTGACACACAGCGTGGTCAAACGGACACCTCCCACCCTTCTTGCAACCCTCCTTGTGATAGTTATAGTAGCGACAAATCGGCGTGACGCCGTCCTTTGGGGACAAGCGCAACGGGGCCTTGTTTGGGTGAAAGTGCTTCGGTGTGGTGCGGTTCGAGCAGCCGCTCGATGCGTCTCCGCCGCCCCCTTCCGTATTTTCGTTGAAGGACGGCCTGGCCGAGGTGCTTCGTGCGAGCAGCTCGCGGAACCACAAGTCCCCTTCAGATATTCTCCCACACTCGGCGTAAGAGCCGGCCTCGGACACCGTCGCCGCCGGAGTTGTTGCGCCGTCGTCGCCTGCGTTCCCCACTGCGTTGGAGCTTGCCTTCAGCTCGTCGACCAATTCTTGACTCTTGACGACGATTAGCCTTGGAGGTTGCGCGAAGGCCGTTCGTGCGAAAGCAATCATGCGGACTACACCTCGGACTTCACGGTTCCCTCCAATGTCGATGAAAACCGCATCCACACCGCCACCCTTGGTAGGTCGAGAAGCATCACCGCCGTCCTTCCCGATGCCCGCCTCCGTCTCGTGCTCCGCGGCCTCGACGGCGCCTCGCGGATCGAGGAACGGGTCCATCTTGTGAACGGCCACGTCGGCGCAAATTTCGCTCTCCGACGACACCAGTTTCAGCCTCTCCTTCGTCCGTTCCACCATGTCAGCCCCGACATCCAAGGCCACAACGCGACCCTTGGGCACATACTTGGCGAGGATGGCGGTTGTTTCCCCCGTCGAGCAGCCTACCTCTAGAACCGCGTCGCACGCTCGAACCTGGGAAGCGGCGAGAAGGCGGAAAGATGCCGTGTCCGCCGTGAGGAGGATGAGGAGGGGCGGGGCGGCGGCGGCGGCGGTCGACCTGTCGGCAGGCGGCGACCTGTAGATGCGTACCAATCTCGACGGGCGGGCACGGTAGTCGGGCGGGTTGCCAGGACTGCCGGCGCGGGGTGGTAATCGAATCACCGCCCTCGTGTCCTCAAACTTCTTCCCCTTTTTCGGATTCTTCTCCTGCCTGTCGACGTTCCTCCAGATGGTGGTCCCAGCGAAGTCGCAGCTACTGGTCCGGCTATGCGCGCCTGCTACTCCACCCGGAGGCTCGGCGGAATAACAGTTGTTGCTTCCTTCGGGGTCATGGTATCCTCTCGAGAGTTCCGCGGGTTCGCTCGTTGCCGCAGGAGCGACAACGGGTGTCGCTTCCACCTTCTCGATAGCGCACACGACTCCCTTCTTCCCGACCTCCTTGGCCGACTTTGTGCGCACGAAAACCTCGTCCCCGACGGACAGCGGGGCCGGTTTCAGGGGCGGGGGGAACAGCCTCCACTCTTCGGCACTACTCATGGTGATGGCGGCCATGTGTGGTCCGACGGAAGGTCCTACAGTAGGAATAACGTGTCACGGTGTTGGTCAAGTCAGGCTACTTGTATTTTCTGGTGGTTGCGCTTCGATATGTAATCAAAGAGTGAGCATGGAATGACCTCCACATGACACTTTGCATGATTGAATTGCAAGAAACGTCAGGTTCTGAGTGCAAACTGTGAGTGCAGACTGCTTGTGGATGGGGAACAACAAGGTGTCCGCCGGCGAAATAGTCCGACAGAGAATTACTGTAATCAGTCGAATAGCAAGATCCACAACCATGGAAAACAAAACAATTATCTCTGTAGATGGCAGCTACAGTTTTCTAAACAGTTCTGCCAGACAATCACTGGAACGAAAAGCTAGGCAACAATAATGTGTATGGTGGTACCAACTTACCTATTGATAGCGGCAAAACTGGGCGAATGGCTTTGCCTCTTTTGCTAGGTAACAACTGGAAGGAACATGCTAGATAGCCGAGGCCGTGCGCGAAAGGAAACCCACATGCAGCAGTTTGTCAGTTGAACGCTGGAGTCGTCTACAGAGTGTGAACAAGCACTGACAGATTCTGCCCTCAACACGCAAGTGAGGGGATGGTAGTTACTGCCCTTGTTCGTGCAAACGTACGTTGAGGTGAGCAAGCCTCCAGCAGCCACCTCAGCTTGGAACACTGCTGTGCCCCGCACGCAAGAACATGCAAACAGGTGCGGAGCACACCTATCACGTGATTGCTGGCTTAACCATGAGCGCTCTCCTTGCTACCGTTCAATGAAGAATAGCCGTATCGCCTACCTACAGCAGTACACAAGCAGAGGAAGAGCGTTCCACCAGGCCTATTTCCGCTGCAAGTCAATGCCAATATCGACGGCAGTCTTTGTCGGTCGATGGAAGTAGAGCCAAGAATGAGGGGGGACGAGAGAGATCTCGGGTTGATGGGGAACAGCCCAACAGCGGAGCAGCGAAATGGCGTTGGCGTTGCCGAGCAGTGAGAGTTGCCGAGGCGGAGCTGGAGCCGAGCGCCGAGCGCCGAGCGTTGGGGAAAGAGAACCACACGCTGCTGGAACCAGGGCGGAACCATAACGCGCTTGCGTTGAAACCCCAGATTTCGCAGGGCGGGCGGGAGTAGGCGGGAGACCGGCGCGCTTTCGCACCACCAGCAGCAGCTCAGCAGCCTGACCCTGAGATGGCCACGCAAGATGAGAAAATCAAGTGGGTGGAGGGGAGCCCTTTCATGGTCGATGGCTTCCGTTTCACGAACCCGCGATGCAGACACTATTTACTGACGCATTTTCACTCAGGTGATCCAGATGGAATGTGTTGCGATGCTGCAGCTGTGTATGTATACATGTAAGTGTAGCAGTCTGCTGAAGGTGCATGGTTGTTCTAGACACTTTCACCCTGCTGTAGGGGTAGCTCGATGCTCCCCGTCGGGTGTGGTTCACTGCAGTATCTCAGTCAAGCGTCTCTGTTCCGATGTGATACGATTGTTATGGTGTAATGGCAGAGAACACGCAACGATGACCATGATTTCAAATCGCGGGATGATTGCAGCACTGATGTTGCGCCGCCTGTCAGTAAAGAGCTCGGCTCGGAGAGGGGAGAAGGTTTACAATACTGGAGCTCTCCACCACTGCTGATACTATGTGTGTATGTAGCTCAGGATGTTGTTTGATCATCACGAGGCCACCCTGCGACAGCAGTCTCATGTCGTCTTCACACACAAAACTGCTTCCTCCGACCTCCGACCGCTTTCCCTCCTCCCTCCCGCAACGTGCACGAACAATCAACCGCCTATGATACAGACCACACAACAGGGTTGTATAAATCATTCTCCGCCGGTAAAATTTATTGCTCTCACGGCACTGCAAACCTGATCGTCGAACTAATGGGGGTAAACCGGGAGCGTGTGGTGGCCCTCCCGATGGACACGCCGGTGCTTGTGGCTGGGTTCGACCTGACCTTAATCGACGCCAACCATTGCCCCGCGGCAGTCATGTGAGACAAAGAGGGAAGAGAGAAATAGGGAGAGGTAGAGACCGAGATGGAGAACCGCTTGTGTTGGTGTCGTCATCGAACTTGTCGGTTTTGCGCGACTCAGCGCAAGCAACAGGCTCGTAAGTTGGGCATCACGGTGCATTGAGGGGCTGCAGATAACGGAGACCGCGTTGCGCTGATTTTCGTCCCGTCTTTCATTTCTCAACGCGCGTTTACGCACGCCTGGAAATAGGTTCGTCATTCGCGATCCCCGTCCAGGGGGCCGCACTACATTACACACCGGTGATTTCCGAGCGGCTGAAAGCGTCTGCAGAAACCCCGTGGTCAAGTCTTTGAAAGGAAGACTAGACTCGCTCTACCTCGACACTACCTATTGCGGACCGCGTCATACTTTTCCGGATCAGTCCGAGGTAAGCGGGGGGGTGCGGAGGGGACGAGACACATGGGGAGGCGGGTTTTCTGTTAAGAGGCAATAGAACAGGGTGGTGTGCATGGCATCTACCGTCTTTTTGGTGTCAGTTAACACGGGAGATTGCGTGTTCCTGCTGTAAGGTGTTTGTTTCCCTGCTCACCTCCTGTGGGCGTGTTCAAACCGCTTGACCTTGTATGTGATCATCGATGCCACTTCATGCAGGTGCTGGCACAGGCCACGCAGCTCGTGCGGATGGAGCTTCAGCGGGACCCAAACACCCTCTTCCTAGTGGGGACCTATTCCATCGGAAAGGAGAAAGTTCTCGAGGCGGTGGCCAAGGCAACTGGCAGTCGGTGCGATCTGGTTGCAGTTGGTTCCGCCTGAAATCCATCCCTTCCCACCTTTGCTCTTTTCCGCAGGTGCTTTTCGAGCCGAGGGCGTGATCGAGGTAGAACTCCGTTGAAGGAGTGACAAGCGTTGCTGATTTCTTGTTTCGAACGCGGAGCTGTCTCTATGGTAGTGATACATAAAACACTGCGGTTCCCGTAGCAAACCATGCTCACAAGCCTTGGTCGTGTGGCACAATCAGCCGAAGCCTTTTTTGCCCTGCTTTGGGTTGCCCTTCCGGAGATCTTACCCCTGCCTGTGTTCTTCCCGGGGAGGGTCGTGGTTGCTGATGCTTCCCCGGCAAGCAAGCTTTGGAACCTCTCGGAGTATCCAACTACCTGCGATTGGCTCTCCCTATAGCCAACACATTCTACCCCGTTTTGCAGCGCAAGAATAACACCGCGTCAACAGCGACAGCAGAGCGCAGGCATTGAAACCACACACCCTGGCGATAACAACAGGTGTCTTGTCACTTCCCGCAAGGCCCGAACGATGCGGCTCTCCGGCGCGTGGGATGACACGGCGTACACCACCCACGATGCCACCACAGGAGGGGGCACGCTTGATGGCGATGGCGATGCGCCGGGATACGCGCGAGTGCGCGCGGTTCCCCTTCAGGACACGAATTCCCCCGCGACGCTGCGGGAAGCCTTGACCAAGGCCAGGGCGGGCGGCGCCCCGTTCACCAGCGTGGTGGGTGTGAGACCGACGGGGTGGACGCACACGAACGCGCGTAAGGGGGGAGGGGGGGGAGGTAAGGCCGGTATCAAGTCTTCGATTGGAGGGCGGTCCGCGTCTGCCGCTGCTGGCGGTCCGGCGGTAAGATCCGGAGCGGAGGAACGCGAAGAAACAGGAAAAGAGGGCTCCGGGATCACTTCCAGCAGCAAACCACAGGATAGTGTTGGCGATGACATCAGCGGGGAGCCTGAGTTACTATCTGAGTGGGAAGACCAGGACGATGAAGCGGCGGCATGGGGAGCTGGATTAGAGGAGGATGGGAACGAGGAGACCATGCAGGTGACGGCGAACGGCGTGGGTGTCGTGCCGCCTCCGTCGAGCTCGTCGAGCTCGTCATCCACTGTTGCTGGTCCAGCGGTAGGACCATGGACCGGAAAGAAGCCGTGGGTGGATGGCGTCGCGAGAGTTTACTCGCTCCCGTACTCGGAGCATAGCTCCTTCACCCAGCTGAAGGACTTCGTGCGAACCGTTAGGCCAAAGTGAGTGGGCATCGTGTGGTGTACGGTAGGGTCCGTCTCTCGAGTATCGTGAAGCCTGTGTATGTTATCAGTTCACCTGATCGTGAGGGCTGACAACAACGATGATCACTGCGTTTCTGTAGTGTTATTCTGTTTCTTGTTTCATACTTTTTTTTTTGCTTGGATAGTCATCGTGTTCGGCTCTTGTTTCAAGTTATGTGTTGCCGCGTCGTCCACTCATCTGATCGGTATCCCATGAAAGCGTTATTCGTTGACTCGTCTCGTTCTTGTCGCGTAGGAAAATCGTCCCTACTGTCAACGCAGTTTCTTCGGCCTCGGTGGAGAAGATGCTCAGCCATTTTTTGGAATTCATGGACCTGTCCTCGGACCGAAAGCGCCTGGAGTCGTACTTTTGCAAGCGTGACCCTCCCAGTGCAACCGCTTCTCGAGGCATCGATATGCTTTCTTCTTCCGGCGCTAGGGCGTCGAATCCGTTCAGTTCCCCAGCTGAAAAGCGACGAAAGAACGCAAACAGCTCTACCGGGTGGCCGCCGAACCTCTTCCCCGCCGAAAAACCTTCTCGTCCACCGTTGAAGGCAGCAGAAAGAAATCGTCTCCACGAAAACGACGCGACATCTGGTACTACGCTAGACGACTATCCATGCGTCCCGAGAAGAGAAGGGGAAGCCCTGCGTTCGAGGGCGGGGGAGCAGCCTTGTGGTGATGCGGGACGTCTGCCAGAAGCGACAATGACCGCCGAGGCGGCAGTTCCGGCGGCGATGCCTGCCCGGTCTTTTGTAGCTGATGCCGGCGCGCGTGCCGCTTCCACGCCCTCCGCCGTTGAGCTGGATCTTGTTGACGTGGAAGCGCAAAAGGCCATCATGGCTGACATCGAGCGCCGAAAGCGCGGGCAACAGGAAACAAAGGCGACCGGAGCCCACACTGCGCAGTCCGGAGGCAACTCGCGGGAGAGTAGAAGAAAAAGTACGCCTGGGTCCGGGCGGAAACGAACCAACTCTAGCACCAGAAGCGACGATGGTCGCCCGGCGGACGCTAACTTGCGAGGGTTTTTCGGCGGCAAAGTCGTTTCGGATGCGAAGGGGACGAGAACGCTTGCGGAGTCGGTGGGTGGATGCAGAGGCCACGAGGTGCTGACGATAGACGACGAGGACTGTGGCACGGAACTGCCGGAACCCATGGATATTCGCGACTTTTTCTCGCGGCGTAAATAAGGCTGGCGGGCAAACCGGTCAACTCGTAGGGAATAGCGAAGGATATGGTCCGTGGACGAGGCCTCGCGGGCGATAGAAACGGGTGCCCGTTTTCGTCTCCGTCACAGCTGCAGTCTCGACCGTCTACTCGACAACCTTCTTGCCGGTTTGACGACGTAGGCTCCTTCCATAGCCGGTGTCCACGGATTGTACCCTTTCGGGGGGTTCCTCGATTGCCATTCTGATGTGTCTTTGGACTGGTGCAAAGCGGATCTCCCGTGTATCTTGTTGCAGCTATATTAAAGGCGTGGGTGACCTCCTGAAGAAGGCACAGTGCTATCACAACTTTGAGGTTATTGCACGCGTGCAAGGCTGGCAACAAGGTGCACGTGGTGTCGCACCTGAGATTCCCACCCGTTGACAACGTGGGAGCATCGTTGACATCGAACATTTGTGATGTCGAGCGTCGTTGACGTCAATCCTCGTTGACGTTGATCATCGTTGATGTCGAGTATCAATGATGTCGAGTATCAGTGATGTCGAGCATCGTTGCCATCGAGCATCGTTGACGTTGAGCATCGCGAGCATTGTTGAGGTAGAGCACCGTTGACACCGAGCATCGTTGGAGTCGAGCACGCCCGCACGCGCATCGGGTGCGAGCCGCGAACGAATAGATCTGTGGCAAGTTGTGGAAGCGATCCGGCTACAGCTTGCTCAATAAAAGGGAAATGATTTTGTCTGGAAAAGCCAAACGTAGGGGATCTACAACCGGGAATACTAGCGGTAGACACTTCTCATCTACATTTTGCCGTTAGGCCTGAGTGCACGTAGGGCACTGCTGTGTCCAGAACAGACGCACAATTGCTGTTGCGCCACTTGACCACTTTAACAGGTACACCGCATCACGTCGAAACGAACAGCAACGTCGCTGCCTACTACAGAGTACACTTGCCTAGGCAGAGCATGCACGCGAGTGATGAATCCGCCTGCCTCCCCTCCTAAGCGTCATCTACTGGCCTGGTGTCCGAAACGGGGTTTCAGCTACAACGCAATCATCGAAAACCGCTGTCTCCCGTTCTCCACACGCACGCATTTAGCTTCATCACAGAGGGCTGCACAACCGAGAGAAGGAGCTTGAAACTCAACAAACTAGAACAGGTTGCAGGTACGCAGAGGACAAACTCGGAACACCAAACCAAACGGCGTTTGTCCCGGCAAAGCTCTTAAGAAAATACACGACCTTGGGGATCATTTGTTCTAGCCCTCTTCCTCGCATCGGGGAAGACGGCGCTTGTTTCGGCGGTGTACGTCGACAACAAAGTGTGCTGTTGTTGAGAAACTGGGCTTCAAAAGGTCAAAATTCATCTGAGGAGGGGATAAAGGGGCATTAGAGTATGCGACGTTCCGTTCTCCCTGAACATCGCCATGTAAAATGGTACAACACGCCCCATACCTTACCGCACCCTCCGAAACAGGGCGGATAGCACACAACGTAGCAAATCCTCGGAATCGGCTGCACGCCAATACCAACGGAGAGCGTGGTTAACATCCGTGTGATGGATACTGAACCCCCCCTCGCTTGACGCGGGGGCCAGCCACGGAAAGGCGAGTACTTGTTGATGGGATGGGGGGTGGGGGGGGAGGGGGGAGGGGACCCCGACCCACGTCACGTGCTTCTGCCGCTGTAGTCACGGCTAAGCCTAGCCGTTGACACCAAAACCAGGAGAAAATCACGGCGTCCTTTTTGCCGTTCATGCCAGTCGGATCAGCCTTCGACGACTCTCCTGATCCCGACAGGTTCGGAAACGCCGCCCCCCCTATCCTCCCTCAGTTCGTCTTCCCCCCTGGTGTGTACCAACTCGTACTCCCGTTCTCGCCCTCGCCGACTGCTGCTGGTCCGGTTCTGCTCTAGCATCCCTCTCCCTCCCATAGGCTCCATCGGTTTCCCCGGCCGCGGCGCCAATCTATGTACGCCTACTGCGGTGTGCGATTCCTCCGCATCCTTCTCGACAGGTAACGCATGTGGCGCAATGAGGGGGGGGGGGGGGGGGGGTGTACTCATAGTCGTGCATGCCGTACTCGTTAGACCATTGACCTCGCATCCCTACAAAGCCGGGACGGAGCATGCCGGGTTCTCACCGGACCAGGCTCTCACATCACCAAGCGCGAAGCACCGTGAGGTATTCGGCGAGTCGCATGAAGGGTGAGCTGCATCCTGCTAGGGTGTTCGGCATCTTGTGCTTACTTCCTTGCGTACGGATGACAGCTGCGTATGACTTAATTTATTTTCTGGTGGTTTTCACTCCCAGAGACAGTTATAAGCACTGGGAAACTCCCTGGGGGAGGCTTGACCAATTTAACAAAAGGGGGGGTTTTCTTCCCCCTTGCGGGGAGGGGGTTTTTCCCCCCCCCCACAACATGTTTTGGGGGGGGGGGGGGGGGCATCAGTTTGTGTCAGTAGCAGTTCTTGCGCTTCGGCGTTTGCAACTGACTGCGTTAGCCGAATGGACTAAACATGAGCGTTCTCGCCAACATCAGTTCGTCATCCCACCAAATTAACTTCACGAAACAGGCGCGATAATCAGACCAGGCCACGGTACATCCCTTGCAAATCGACGCCAACAACAAAGTGCGGTCGCGAAGCATCCTTTATTTGGACGTGACTGAAAGTCGTAACCGCTTTCTTTGCTTCATACACCTCGTACCCGTCGTGCGTCCTCCAATACTTCGTCGGCCTTGAGAGATCGCGTCACAAACACCAGCAACTCCACCAGCATGATGAACATGGCGCCCACGAGCCCGATTACTAGTCGCTGAAGTGCCGTCCGTCGCCCGCGGGTGTGCGTAGAATCATTTCGCAGGAGATAGAAGAGCAGGGAAGAACGAAATGATACCCGAACCAAGGAACGGGAGGGGGGAGGGGGGAGGGGAGGCACGACATGAAGAATTTATCTCCTTCGGCCAGGTCCATTTCCCACAACATACATGTTTTTAGTATTGGCAGCGATGATTAGGCCGACCGGATCGGAACGACTTGGTGCTAAACTACTTGACAGTACGCACCCTCCCTGCCTTCCTCTCTTTCTCTCTCTCTCTCTCTCTCTCTCTCCCACTTGGCTCACGTGCGATTTGTTGTCCCCGACGATGAATTTGCTGGCCCAATAGCTGATAATAAACGTGGTGAACACCGCCACCACCATGTTGGCCCCCATGCCAACCTGAAACTTGAACGACGCCTGGATATCCCGAACGGTCTCTCGCGGTGCCCTGGAAAACAGGAGATGCCCGTGTGATTGCTGTTTTACTAATAATTGCCTTCCTCTCTGCGCCTGTTGCTTTTGAGGGTCGATTCTTCCAATCAATCAAGTCTCGAGAGTTATCTGGACGCATGAATCCAAACGATTGGGGGTCGGTTTCGTCACAGGTACGATGCGTAACACTCGTGAAGCGTCACAAAACGTCGGGATGTCCGTGCGCCTCTGCGGTGGGCCAAGCAAAGACGTCAACGTGCACCTATGTCCTCTGCTACCTCTTTATTTGAGAGTAGGAACCTAACATTCGAGAAGGATCAACAGAGTCCGTGCTATGTAGATGACACCAAATACACTACAACCCAGCCGGCGACGCCGTAACCCCGCACCTTTGAATGTTGTCAATCATCCGTTGGTACTCTTTCTGCTCTCGCAGAAGGAGTAATCGATCTCGTCTTTCCTGGTACGCACGCTTTTCCTGCTGTCCCACGAACAAAAGCGCGAAACACACGACCGAAAGGGGCTTTGTGTCGGACACAAGGAGGGTCCAGCTTGGCAGACACCGCCGGACACAAAGTCCGGGTGGGCAACGGGTGCGTACGCCGCGCTTGGCTGAGATGCTTTTGGGAATGTGTGGTTCGGAACGCCCTACACAATTACATCCCTCTCTCCCCGGATACACCCCCCACAGCGCACGACCCCGGCCATCGATCGCACGGGAACCACGTTTTTTTCGGTCATGACTGCTGTGTGGACGAAAATCAACAGTCGCCGGGTTCTCGGTGAGCGCAGGGCATCTCGGACTACCGCAGCGCAGCTCCCGCCGTCACCGACGAAACCAACTGGCATGCCTAGTGAAACCGGCCTACATTATTCCTTCTACTGCTGCCGCTGCTGCTGCTGAGCGACGCATCAGTGGAATAGCTGCAGCTCATCCATATTTACCGCTGCTGCCCCAGCAAACATAACAAAGGGCCACTCTCAACTTGCGCCACCGGGCTCCTTCATGCAGATGTGCCCCTGAGAGAAATCTCCCACCATGGTCGATGATCACAGAGAACGTAGATACGCCCGAGGCATCGGCAGCAACGCACTCTGAGATGGCACGCCCGGGCACCATGCGACCGAAACCAGGTTCTAGCCTTTCCACTGGAGGAAGAAACTAGGCTTGCAGGGGACCCAAGCACCACTGGACGCTCCACCAGTTTGGCTTCGGGTGCCATACATACCTTTGACGGAAGAAAAAGAAACGCGATGTCTACGGTGGAACCAACAGGACTAGTGGCGTTCGAAACCTGACGGCCCGTTGGCCAAAAAAAAACAATTGTTTCACAAGACATGGTCGGCAGCACGCATGCCCACTTGACCGACCCACCTCGCCGTGCTTCATCGCCGCCGACGCCGCTCCGCGCGCGTCGGGGAACACCAGCCCGCCGCCCTGCAGCAGCCCCAGCAAGCCCCCCACCGACGCGGCATGGCCGTCGCCGCCCTCCCCGCTGCCACGTGCCATCAATCTCCGGATGTGAGGCAGCGCCCTCGCCAATGTTGCCGGGTTCAGCGTCACTCTCGCAGCCCCCGCGCGAGCCCCTCCCGCTGGTGCCGACTCCGCTTCTTCGGGTGTCACCGCGCTTGCCGCGGCGGCCGCTGCTGCGGCTTGCTCTTGGTCCTCAATAGTAGGTAAGCGCTCCGATATTTTCTCGCGCAAATCGGAGTCCACTCCATCGACATCTCTGCGTGTGCACGGTTGCCGCCGCGCCGCGCGGGGGTCGGAGGTACAAGAATCCATCAGTATTTTCGAGTCAGTTCTTCTCCTCAGATAGTATGGGATGCAAACAGTGGCATCACCTCCCGCAGGGGTTGGTGTTGCCACTTCGTTGCGAATGGAAATAAATAAATATGGCTAGGGGAAACAATCCTGTTTCCTGTAAAGCAGTACAGCGATCGATATTTATTTCTTTCCCATCCGCGACGATTGTATTTTCCGGAGAAAAATTGACTGAAAATAGAAAATAGAGAAATTCGAGAAAGATTCCAATAATCGTTGGGTGGGCGGTTGGTGTCTCAAAAGGACTCTCCTTTCCTCTGTTTTCCTGTCTTGCACAGGTTTGACAAAAGGAAGTGAGAGTGTGTTCTTCCTCCTCCTTTGTTCTGGGTCTTTACGTCTGGAGAATTCTTAAATCGTGCCTCTTTCTTCATTTCCTGTTTTGAGAATCCATCAGTATTTTCGAGTCAGTTCTTCTCCTCAGATAGTATAGGATGCAAACAGTGGCATCACCTCCCGCGGTCGGTGTATCCACTTCTCTCCCTCACTTAGGAAACTCACTCGAACGAGATGAGTTTTCTCATCCCATACTTTACTGATAGGAAACAGATGAATGTGGAGGCATTGAGAGACCATGGCTGAAATAAGACCAATTAAATTAACAAATGAGACCACCTATAGCAAAGGCTTGTTGCTAAACGCTGACAACGATCGGCTCTGTTCACTCAAACCGAACTCATTCAACTGCCTGTATTGTTCCTCTGAAACTCCCTCGACCATGGCGGTACGCTCGGATCCTGGAGCCACTACTTCCATGAGTCGCATGTATCGCCAAGCAGTCTTTGGACTTTTCCAATATGCCTTCTGCATGATTGTCGATAGAGAATCTCCTGCGAGGGCTCTGGAAACAGCCCCTCCTGACCTAAAGGAGTGTAGAGAGAACCCTTGGGTCTCTCCTACTGCCGCGGCGTATCTCTTTAGTGCTTAAGACATCCTGCTAGTAGCCACCGGCAACTTGCCCCTCTGCGCTTCACCTTGCATAGACTCCGAAATGTCTGGGAAAAGGTAACCTGAAGTTGTGTCCCATCCGACCTGCTTCCCCACGGCTATAAACCTCTCTACCGCTCGAACTGGGCAGATTGCCATGTATTCCTCATCATACGGTACGGTCAGGATATGATCCGCTCCATCCCGTTGGGTTTTTCCCCGCTGAAAATTGCACATGAAACCGCTCGTATTTGGGAGTCGCAAAATACGTTGGATGAGGATATTAGTGAGCTCCACTCCTCTCTTGGTTGTGCTAAAAGCCACCGAAAAGAACGCAATGTCCCTAGCCAACGTAACCCGTTCGACGTCGGATGAGGCGTATTGAAGCCTGATCTGCATTGGAAAAATAATCTTCTCCAGATGGCTCGAAGAATGACCGGTGCTTGTTTCACCAATACTCCCGCCTGCTTTTGCTCACTTGTGGTGAACGCCATATATTGCGCAACTAGGTCGCTCTTCACCGGGTTACCAACCCGCATGGTCTTACTCCACGGTGTCACCACTCCCATTTCCTTCTCGAACACCATGGATAACTTGGAGGCATGATTTGTTCGGAGAGAGTCAAAGGCGTATCTAAGGCTACATTCTCCCTTGTCTGTTGAACAAGCTGTAAGATCTTTGGTGCCCACGGCTTCGCAGTGTCTAGCATGCACGATTGTACGTCGTCTTGAACCGCAGGAGTCTAACCAGCATAGGAACTCTACCACATCCTTTGGTTGTGCATTTTCAATAGAAACAGACCCGTTCCTTCGAGATGCTAGGAAGTTGCTGAACAAAGCCCATGTGGCCGACCGACTGCGCGCGGAAGCCTTTTCCGCCCATGCATTTAGAAATTGTTGGTATCGCCTTGAAATAGCCTCTTCGTCCACTTGAAGAGGAGGTGTTGTCCGAGGTTGGTGCTGAGCTATTGAGTATCCGCACCATTGACAGAACCGAAACGAATCATCGTTTTCACTGTGGCACTCCGGGCACAAGACCCGTGCCCGTGACGCTGACACTTTCACGAGCGGAGGAGGAGGAAGCTTCGCCTCGCCGATACGATTTCGCTTGGGAATTATCGCCCCTAAGATGCTCACGATGAGGCCAGTGGCTGTGAACACAGTCTGGAGAGTCTGGTAAAGAATGCGTTGTCCCACAAACCACCGAACATGAACACGAGACACGTTGAGAACGAGCTGAACAAACTCTTCATCACTTAGTATTCCGGGTGAAATCCACTACCACAGCTAGCATTCCTGACCGTTTGAAATGAAAACGCTCGGACCCTTTCTGGTGGTGTACCCGGAAAAAGGGTGACTCATCCCCGTTACCGATCGACAACGTCCGTGATCGCGTAGTCGCGCCCGATATCCGTGGAAACCAGTACTGCTTCCGATCTGGGACGATCACAAGCGCCTTTGCGTGACACTCCTCCAAGTGCTGAAGAAACACTCCTACCATGCTCGTCGGAGGGAAACAGAAACCGAAACACTCCTCCGTTGTTGAACCAGGCATGAACCGAACATTTTGTGTAAGCACGTCAACCCCGGCACACCCTTGCGTATGGTATCTGGAGTAAAATGGCAGATCCTCACTAGTGCAGCGCCCATCTACCCAGCGCTTGTGAACCGAGGCAGGTGTGGCCATTAAATCCATGGTCACCTGCTCGCCCGCCCACGCGCATAGGTCACCGAACATCCGCTCGTCTAGTCTCACAAAATCGTCCGATCCTGGTCTAGAAATACCATCAGCCTCAGCGTTTGCCTCGGAGCTCACCTACTTCAATTTCAGCGTGAAATCACGTCGCACTTGCAACCAGAACAGATCGGTAATAATCTCATGCATGAGGGTGTTGGAAGACCGCCCTTTCTTAAAGGCGTCGTGTAAGACTTTGCTATCCACCTTGGAAATGAGCGTGGACCCGGCCAACTGAGAAGGTTGGCTATCTGAGAACAGACGTAGAGTCTGCTGGAGAGCGTACCCTTCTTGCACGTTGATATGTTGCTGCGCGACGTGTAGCGGGAAATCTCCGCCTGCTTTGAAAATGGGTTGGCCTGGACTCCTAATGAGTCCCCCCCATCCTCCCGAGGAGGCATCCGATGCCCCGGTAAGAGCTAACTGCTTATGCTCGGCACGGTACCACGACGCCCCGTTGAAATGCTCACGAACTTCCAACCAGCGTTTCAGCTCGAACATAAGACCGCCGTTCTTTGGGACTTGTATCGTCATGCTAGGTTTGCGACCGCCGCGTCGCTGAAAAACTGCGATGCTCTTGTACATGTGGTGCGTGTAAAGAGCCGCCACCGGAACCGCTACCGATAGACTAGTGCACTTGCCTGCGAGCTTCTCTAACATCTGAAAGGTGATGGACTCCGACGCAATAGCGTCGACTAGAATCGCCTCGAGCTTGACGAGTTTGTCCTCTGGGACCTCGAAACGCCCGTTATCGGAGTCACAGATAATCCCCAGGAAAACCAAGCTCTTCGTAGGGATGAGCTCATACTTCTTCTGCGAAATGAAGTATCCCGCGCTATAGAGAACTTCTAGTGCGACATACGCGGTCGTCTGAGCTGCTTTGAGCTGCTCGTCATAGCTGAGCCTGCGGGTGGATCGAAAATTGGTCAAATAGAAATCGTCTATCCATGTAAGCACGGGAATGTCTCTTGCTCGCAGGTATCGAGCGACTGCCTCGGAAAGAGAAGCGTATATGAACGGGGCTGAACACCACCCGAAAGCAAGCACGGTAAACACGTACAGCTCGCCTTCCCACTCGAAGCCAAAATATTGCCAAGAACCCTTATCTAGGGCAACGTGGTGGTATCCAGCCTTATGATCAATAGTGACTTGATGAGCTCCTGGCCATGCGCACTGAGCCACCTTGCCTACGCCATCCATACTGAAAGGGTGGTGGCGGCACATGAGATTAAGCCACCGTGCGTCCCATATCAATCTGGGTTTCGTGGGCTCCACACCCAACGGAAGCACCATTTGCGGTTTGGCGTATACGCTAACGTCCGCGACGTCCTTCCACCTCGCAACGCAGCCTGTCGCTGCGAGCTTAGCGACTTCGCTCGTGACCCATGATACATGTTCGTCGGGAACGTGGTTCGGCAGATGTATTGACGTAAGGTCAGCGCCGTTGTACGATGCACCGTGAAAAATGCCTGTCGCCTTCGTGTCTACGAAGTCGTGAACGTTGACCCCTTCGACCCACCCCAAGAGGGTATTGCGATCTCCAACGGGAGTATCCTGTAAAATTTCGTCCCGCCAGAACTCAGTCGCTGTTTGCAAGTGAGCCGGAACGAAATCGTCCGTCACCCACATCCTAGCTTGGTCTGGTAGGCGGTGAGATTGTCGAAGGTGCCGAATATTAGAGAGGTCGACGGTTGACTGTTTCGCTGATGCACTGATCAGGTCCCCGCACACTAACTGTGTGCGAATGTGTGCGGTACGTGCGGCTCTCTCGGCGAGGAACAAGTCTGCTCCCGATCCGACCTGTGACACGCATAGAATGTGTAGAGGAAAATCTCTAATGTCGGAAAACTGGGCTTGTTTCGCATAACCAACGTATGTTGTTGGCCGCACGTGTGTGACTTATGTCGCATATGCTTATGTCGCATATGCTAGGGGAGAGTAGCAAGCAAAGTGGAAAGGTTTCGTCCACCTAGTTTTAAGGATGATTTCAGTGTTTCGGGTAAATCTACATGAATCGATCCGCGCGT